CGGGAGACGAGGGAGTCTGCCGGAAGGTAGAAGAATTTTTAAAGGAAAGCAACAGTCCCAGACCCTGCCCTGGCTCAAGACTCCTACGGTGTTAGCACTTCCTGTGAGCTGTTAAAAAGATTGGATTTGGTCCCGGGCATTGCTAAGACATGGTCCCCGGCCTGTAATCCGAATATTCAGAAAGATTGTTCTATTTGAAATGGTGTAGCGGAGGTCTGGTCCCGGGCCTGTAATCCGAGTTTGAACGGGTGGTTAATAGTAGCATGCATTTTTGTTTGAGCTGGCTACAGACAGGTCACTTAATGTGAGCTTAGAACGAATGGTTACTTAGTATCAAGACTGGAAAACTGAACCTCCTGAAATTGTATCGCAGGGTTTTGTGGAGAATCAGAGTTAGATTTATGACATGGTATCAGAGCTGGTTTGGCTAAGTGGTCGTGTGTTTAAATCTCCACAACTACGACCCCCAATATTAACAGTTGACTAAAGCACAAGATATGGTGATTGCTTGTGCAAACTTCAACCCCATGAGTTGCATTTCGTTTGAGTGGGCGTATTAGAGAGTGGTATAAGATTCAGTATAGCCTTTTCCACAACAACTCGAGTTATTGGAGCTAAGTGGTTAGTTCGCTAACAATAAAGTGGCTCAGTCATATTCCAAGGGAACCCTGAGCTTTCTATTACTTCGCTCCGAAACTACTATCTAATCGAATCAAAGGGTTTGGTGGAGAATCTAATCTAACCTAACTAAAAATGAAACAACCAACCAACCAAGTGGTTGGGAGAACTCTATAGATACGATGGCTGCCTACGATTGACTTCCCCTCGCTATAGTTGATATGTTGGGTTTATCGGATATAGTGATTGAGCTCTTTTTCATGGGCTTCTATGTTTATCCCACCCCTCTGATTACGCCCTACCAAGACCCATTCTCACATTAGTCAAGGCCCACGTATCTGGGGCATTAAACATCTAGCTCATTTCAATAGGTACTGCCTATCGTGCACGCCAAAGAATCAGATTTGTGCGCTTGCAAATCTCTAAAGCTTCGTCCTAAGAGGTGTTCTTGTAGCAGGGGTTCAGTCGCTTCATCCACTATAGTACCCTAAAATCATTCATCTATCCTTAATTTGCCAGTTGACGCTATCTATCTAACTCTAAAACTCCTATCTAACACGGTAGCTCATTATAGAATAGTACAGAAGATTAGGGCAACTTACCCAAGCATAATTAAGCTTACATGAGCAATAAAAATACATCCATTCATAAACCCATTCACACACAATCTAGAATCTAGGGTTCATCTTTCCTAAACAATCATTAGAGACTCAAGTCATATATATATATATATATATATATATATATATATATATATATATATAAAGAGAGAGAGAGAGAGAGAGAGAGAGAGAGAGAGAGCAATCTAGAAAAGAGTGAGTGATGGAATCAAGTTCAAATATGTCAACCCAATGTGTTTCTCTCTCTATAAGCAGCTCACGGGCGCAAACTTTTGTCTTGCGGCTGTGATCTTTTTCGCTATTGCAACCAACGTGGCACGCGAAATGGGTAGCAAAAATTTATGTTCTTCAGGCGACGCTTCCTCCTAAAGTTCACGGTCAAGGGGCCCAAAATCGTGGCCTAAGCTCTCGGTCTGGAACTTGTGCCTTTCAGCTGCGATCTTGGTGATTTATGAATATACTCCATATTCCTACACGTTTGCCCATTTTCTCCCATCATTTTTCTTGTAACATCATATGCAATCCTAATGCAAAATAAAAGCCCAAATGGAAGAGAAATAAGAAGCAAATGCATAAAACAATCCAAAGTTCAAAATGGTACTAAAACACTTAATAAACGAGGGTTCAATAACATCATTTTAGGTGTTATTGTTACAAGGAAGGTACTGGAAAGGGGTACGTTACGTAGGTGGTTATTTTCATAAAGTGAAGGTCAGTACGCGACCGAACCTTGAAGAGCTCCGTCATATGTGTACTACAGTTACTTACATGGAGGGCACGAGGAAAATTGATTGTATGGTGTACCGGTATCCAAACAGAGAAGACGGGTCGTTATGGTATGAGGAATTGCTCTTAACCACTAAGGAGGAAATTGATGTCATGTTTGATTTTCTGAATGTCAATAACATTTCCAAAGAAGAGATGTTTGTCTACACCGAGGAGGTTGAAGGCGGTGGAAGTCATCCTGGAGGTGGCCAAACATCTGGTATTCACGGTGGGGGTGGAGTATATGAGGATCATCCCTACCAAGTCTACCAGGATCATTAATCCTACCATGAGTACCAAGAAGGATATGGAGGTCATCATCATCAATCCTTCCCATCATATGAAGAAGAAGGACGGTACCATGAGTACCAACAAGGAGGCGGAGGCCATCATAATCAACCTTTCACATCATATGAAGAAGAAGCTCAACGGTAACATGAGTAACAACAAGGAGGTGGATGTCATCATCATCAACCCTTCTCATCATACGAAAAAGAATCCCAACGGTAACATGACAACCAACAAGAAGTCGACCAGTACCAACCTGAGTAGAACTTCCATGGAGACAGCGGTAGTTATCACAACTACCATTACGGATCTGATGACGATGCCTTGCATGATCTAGATGAGATGAAAGATGTTTTGCCAGCTCCAGTTAGTGGTTGTGAAGATGAAGAAGAGGAAGGAAACGTCAGTGCAAACAGCTTCGATCCTCTTGAAGGTGCTGCAGGCTCAAATTTAGACTCAAATGATGATGAGGTGTCCCGTGAGCCGTGACCATGTGGCTATCCCGTACAACATGAACATTCCAAATGAAAATTGTTGTGTTGATGCCAACATGAAGCAGCCAGAGGTGCCAATATGGGGTCCAGCCACCGGGTTTAAGACATGCCAACAATTTGGTACGAAGAAGGATGTTCGATATGTTGTTGACGCTGAAACAATGAATAAAGGTTTTGAATGACACACACCACATTCTGACACGAGAAGGCTCATAGTTAGATGCCAAAATAAACATGGAGGAAGCGGTCCCGCAGATCGCTGAGACAGTCAGCCACTGGATCGCGGGGGGATCCAGCAGTCAATCGGATTATAGCGACCCCACGTGTTTTGTTAGCCGCATAAACGGAACCGCAACACCCCATGTGGTCCTCGTTTTAACAGTCATGGGGTTATGCAGTGCTTGTGAATTGGTGGTATGAATGGAATTTTTTTTTGAAAGAGTGGTATTTTGAATTTTTTTAGTTTTTGGGTGTTATATTGGAAAAATTCCCAACATACATGTCTAGTGTATATATAGATGAAAATATTAACCAATAACTAACACTAATATTAACTAATATAATTAAACTAACCACCATACCCATAATCACTTAGTTAACTAATATACTAGAAATACAACATACAATATGTGATCAAATTAAGTAATGGATCTATTTGAAGGCCCCTGATATTTGGAGCCCTGTGCCGGAGGTCCAGCTAGACACCCTCTTAACTAGTCCTGCCTGCCCCGACCCACACTTGATGCGAGACAAAAATGGATATTGAGATACTTGCTCCACCCATGTGTTTGCCATCACTAATCAAATTCCTCACTCCGGAGAAAGTGAAACGGGGCTCGTTTGCTTGTTGGATTTGAAAATGAGGGTTTTCGGTTTTCAAAACCTTTGTCCCCGTTTAGTATCGTTGCCTGTTTTTGTTTTCTGTTGTGTTTTTCAAGATTGGAGAAACCAAGAAAAAAAAACATGTTTAGTTGGGTTTCTATTTTTTGTTGTGAATCAGATTTGCACAACAGGGCCCAAATTTGAGAAACAACAATTTATTGCTTTGGATTTGATTCTTGTACATGTTTTACATGGGATTCCCATTTTTTTTTTCATTAAAACAACCCTCAATTCGAATCCCACCTAAAGCAAAAAATTTCTCTTTTTTTTTTTAACTGCCAAACTCATCTCCAAACCCTAGTCGGCCAACCCTACCCTCATTTTCTCCCAAACCCGCCGCCCAACAGCTCCCTCCGTCTCTCAACTTCTTCCTCTCGAGACCCAGGCCGCCGATATCGTCCATCTCCCCCTCGTCGTCGATTTCGTCCTTTGCCCCCGCCGCCTCCCTATCCCCTGTCGCCCGGCCTCGCAACCCTTGCCGCCTCCTCCTCTCGATTCCCGTCGCCGACTTCGAATCCTTTCCCCCCCGCCACCGCCTCCTCTCTTTTCTGTTTTTTAATTCTAATAGTAGTAATTGAACGCGTTTTTGTTTCTTGTTGTCTGCTTTCATTATTTTTCAGATTATCAACTAAACAGGTTTGTGTTTTCTGTTTTTTTCCTGCTATGGTTGTACATCGGTTTACACAACACCACTGCAACCACAACAGCAACAAATCGATACTAAACGGGGATTTATGATGAATTTGAAAGAGTATATTGTTTGTTTTATAATGAATTAGGGGTCGTTTGGAGGTTGAAATTCTTCAAATATGTGTATTCCATGAATAGATGTATTGTAAATACAAAGATTGTAAGAATTAGATGATTGGAAGAATGTCTCGTTTGTTTGTAGCAACTCAAAAAGTTTAAAGAAAAGAAAAAAATCACTTTATGAGCTAAAAGTGGAACAATTTAAAGCCCATAATCTCAAAGGAAGAATCTCACCTTTTTGTTGAGATTTAAAATGAGTGATTTTGGTGAAATAAGATTTGAAGGCCCACTTCAAATGCATGTATTGAATAAAGTTTTGGAACAAAAAAACGATGGATTCTCGAGAATACATAAATTCAAAAAATCATTCATTTAGAATCATAACTTCCAAACGACCAATGATAGATTTGTCTCACAACTTTGCCTTTTATTATCAAATCTCAAATGAAATGTGAGATTTGCAAATCCGTGGGCTCCACATATATGTGTCCATTAGTAAACAAGATTTGTATCAAATTCTTGATGTTTGGGATTTGATTGTTAAATCCATCGCCTAAATCCGCAAGCAAATGATACCAAAACTAGAAAGAAAAAGGAGAGCAAGGTCCGACGGTTCCCGGCTTCCCGCTTCTCGCATCTGGCACTCAATTTTTGGTGGCGCGAAAAGCTCGAATTCGCGGGAAAAAACAGAACCCCGCTCGATCTAATCTCTCTCATCACCCTAACCCGATCCGATCTATAGCTAAGTTGACGCGCCGGAACTTACTCCGCCTCGCTGCGATTCGGAACCAAAAAGATGTTCGGAAGGCTGAGACCGCCGTCGTCTTCGCTTGACAGCTTGGAAATGGAGAGGTCCCATTCCAAGTTCTTAAAGGACGATTCTCTCTCCGTCTACGGTAATCCTTCGTTTCCACCCAATTCCTCAATTGTCAAGTTTCTGGGCTGCGGTTCTCGTTAATTTTTCCTGGGTCTTAAAACCGGATTCCTTATTTCATTTTCATTTTGTTGCAGAAGCTACGCTGATGAAGCTCAAGCTAGGTTCTCAACGTGCCGTACTCTTGCCTCCTCACCCTGACGATCCAATGGACGCCGAAACCGACAGCGTCTCTTCTTCTTCTTCGACTCCTTTAATCGGTACTTCTCCCGGGTTCAATTCCACCATCCCACTAAACCCCGCCAACTCTACTTCCCAACCACCGACAACAGCGGCTGGAAGTTGTGCGTCTTTCACCATTTCTTCATCTTCAAGTGATGCTACCGAACTGAAACACCAGGTTTCAGTTCTTCAACTTTTCTCCAAGTACAAAGTGTCTCGACAAGAAGAATCGATCTCGTCTGGTAGAGGTATTCCTACAATGACCATGGACTACGGTGTGTCTGTAAATAACTCCCCCAGCTCTGTGGGTTTTCCATCCTCTATATGACTTTGGGAGGCGGCGGCAGCAGCAGCAATGGCTATTCTGCAGATTGATCCTTCAGTTTTTGAATCCCTTGTCAAATGTACGATTTAGATTTGTACCCAGAAGCTGATTCTATGTTTCAGCATTGTTTCAGTTCTTTACTTTTGCTTCTACAGCGCTTACGAGAGGCAAACACTACTTGCTCTGCATTCTTGTATTCATTCTATCCAAAATATTGCTTATGAAAGGCAATGACATATTTTGCCCAAACTCATCCACCATGTTTATGTCTATGGTAGATTTAGGGGTTCTAAATGCACCAAAAATCTGGTGTGTATCCACTCCGACCAAACAGATTACTATTTTGTACAACAGACAAGGTAGAGAGAAAGCGAGCATTTGCATCTCTTGCATATAGAAGCAGAAAAAGGAGCACACAACATCTTCTTGCATAGTACGCATCTTTCACATAACTCATTGCAATTTTTCAAGTCCCAAAAAGAAGTCAAGACTGCCGTTGCCTACATCTTTAATCCCACATTTGGTTCTGAAATCAAAGCTGCAGTAGGCACAACTACTATTGAACTGTAGTGTTATTAAGGAAATGAAAGCAGCATAGTACAGTTTATACAAAAACTGCAGGCCTCCATAAATCCAGGATTCTTTGATGCTCACTCCCTTAACCAAGGTGCTTGAGCTGGAGTCCATTGGCATATTTCATCTTCTTTAAACCACAGACCTGGAGAAACAGTAACCAAAATCGGTTAGAAGATCTGAAGGGTAGGAGATGTATGTTACTAATTCACGCCTCATATAATAGGACATTTCTGAAAGCAATGTCAACCCATCTCCATTTCTTCTGATGTGGACCGAGTTCGGAAATGGGACATGAAGTGACCAAATTGAATGGAAAGACAATAACCCATGCATGAACCTGATTCTTTGTTTTCCCCCTAAGCCTACTGTCATCTTGCATTTCACATCAGTATAACTCGTTTTCTCATCCTTCCGTGTTTGATGCTGGTTATCACACTTAACCCTTCTATTGTGGTAACCAATTAACTATGACTGTTTTGACGAGTGAGCTATCAATCAGTTATTGGTTACTACTTTGGCAATCAGGAGTTCAGGACAAAGGCTGAATATACAAGAAGTCAAGAACAATAAAAGCTGATTGTGAAAGAGAGATCATTCAATAATGTTAGATGCCATACCAACTTCACGCTTTCCATTGTCAGGGCTGTCGCTGCCATGAATCACATTCCTGCAGGTTTGTTTACATAACAGGAAGGAATAAAACTGATTGCACGAGTTACTTAAACCAGCAAAATAAAACAATTTGATAGAGAGAGCTTCAGAAGCAGCCAACCTTCCCGTTTGGACAGCAAGGTCCCCTCTAATTGTTCCTGGTTCAGCTTGAAGAGGATCTGTTGACCCTATCAGCTTACGGGCTGATGCTACAACCCCAACACCTTCCCAAGCCTAGTTGAAAGTCCACATCACCAATCGGAAACCTCAACTCAACACACATGTAACTACTAACAATGATGAGTGACATATAATATAGAGAGAGCATGCATACATACCATGCTCACAACAGGACCGGAAGTGATGTAATCGATCAGTTTAGGATAGAACGATTTGGCTTTGAGATCCTTGTAATGCTCCTGCAATGCCATGAAAATGTAGATTAGTGCTACAGAATGAGAATCAGAGACCTACAGTAACTCAATTCAAACAAGAACTTGAGTGCATCAAGATATCGTTGAGCTTCTTCATGATTCAAACTCAAAACTTAATCCAGGTATAAAGGAAGACTTAGAATCTGGGCAGTGTAGCTGTAATACCAACCTCTGCAAGCTCTTTGGGGCATTGGAAGAGCTTCAAAGCTTTCAGTTTAAACCCTTTCTTCTCAAACCTAGATATGATTTCCCCTACCTACAAAACCAACTCAACCCACAGAGACAAAAATTGCATAGGTAACGTCTCATGAACTAAAAAACCCACTATTATCATCATTATTTGCAGTCCCAGGAGCTAGGAAACCAATTAGAACTTACGAGGCCACGCTGAACACCGTCTGGTTTGACCATAATGTATGTCTCCTCTACTTGTTCCTGCAAAGCACCAAAGTCAACTAACTAAAACAAGAACCCCCCCAATGACTGCTGAGGTCCAAAAATGTGGTACTCGAACGAAATACTGAGAATCAGAGGCAGAATTACACAGTGAGAAGAGAGGGAGAGTTACCATGGAAGCGACCAAGTGAGGAAGGAAGATATGGGATTTGGTGGACTTGCGTGGAAGCGGCTTATGAAAGCCATTGACACGGGATGGAGAATAGGAGAACAAATTGGAGGGGGAACGGAATGCTGCTAGCTGGGCGGTGGCCCGAAGGTTCAGCTTCTTACAGGGGAAAGCGCCGGCGGGGGAGCGACGAAGGGATGAGGAGACGGATAATCGGGTACCTCCAAATACTCCCACAGTCTCCATTTTCACTCTCTCTCTCTCTCTCTCTCTCTCTCTCTCTCTCTCTACTGTCAACACATACCCGTCATGCGCAGCAGGGGTTGAACATATAAATTCGGAAATTACTCAAATTAGCGTAACCTGTCAACCCCGAACCGACCCAACCGTGACACTCGAGAGTTATGTCATGTCGAAGGTTGTCAACTCGGTTTAGCCTATCAGCTCGGTCGGCTAACTGGCAGAGGGTTAATGGTTATATTGTTTTAGTCTAGATATATGAAAAATCATTAAGCTGAACATACATATATAAATTGTATCAAATCTCATATAATTTAAGATATAATGAAAGTCAAGTTAATTTTCAAGTTATATTTCATTATGTAATGAAGTCGAGGTCTAACCATTAAGAGGCAGACTTATTATGTCGATAATAGTAGAGTGAATTCAAATTACTTTCTAATGTTGAAAGGGAAAAATAGAAGTTTAACGTTAGGTTCTTATATTTACATTCCAAATAAATAGTTATAACTTGTATATAAAAATTCTAAATAATATGACCTATAGAAGCCTACATGGCCTAAGAAGCTTCATAAGCTTTGACGGAAGTGGGAGGATGTAGATTGAAAATTGTTTCAATTTTTGCTTAATCTACCTTGATACCTTTTTTCGAGATCTTGTGCCGCAGAACGATCCCTTATGTTAATATGAAGTGACTCTGTTCTCGGCTGAATGCTAAGTGGGTTCTCCCTCACAACCAATTAGAACCTTCTTTAGATTGGCTAACGCATTGGGAGAAGGAGTCTCCATAGAATGAGAAATCGTCCATGAAGACCTCTACCAAATCCTCTAGTAAGACGTAAAAGATAGTTATCATGGAACATTGGAATGTGGCAGAGGCATTGCACATACCAAATGGTATCCGTTGGTAGGCAGAAGTACCATAGGGGCATGCAAAATGTTGTCTTCTCTTGGTAGACTAGATTGATTGGGATTTGGAAATATCCAAATATTTCATCTAGGAAACACGAATATTCATGTCATGCCAATCTTTCCAACATCTTATCAATGAATGGTAGGAGAAATTATCATTTTGGGTGACGTCATTAAGTTTTATGTAGTCAATACAAACTCTCCACCAAGTGACTATTCGAGTGGGAATGAGGTCACCACTCTCGTTAGGCACCACAATCATACCCTCCTTCGTGGGGAACCATTTGAATTGGACTCACCCAAAAACTGTCTAAGATGGGGTAAATGATTCATGCACCTAGCAGTAGGCGCGAACAAACACACCCGCAAACCAATCCACCCGTCCAACCCACCCGTATTTATAGCTAAAGTTAAGGTTTTGGGTTGGGTGAGGATTTTATTTTGTACAACCCGCCTTTTTTCGGTTGGGTTTGGATTTTGGATTACACAACCCGTAGAACCTGACCCAACCTGTGTTCCCACTATTGGTATGAATTTGTATCAAAAAAAAATTTATGTCGTATATAACCATACTTATGAGAAAATTAAGATATTCCGCCATGTTTTTCTCGCTTGGTCTCCTTAATCTAATGCATTCTTCGGCTTAAAGTTTAGACATAGATTTAATATAGCTATGATTCACGTAATTTTTTTTCTTGTGTACAATTTTAATAGAATAACATATAATGGATGCGTTCGTTGATAACATTTTTAGCCTATTCCAACAAATATAGTGAAAAAAAACTAGACATATGTGGAAGTAAATCACATTTTATTAAAATTTAAACAATATTTGTGAATTTTGATATCTTTCACCTCCGTTTATTCGTCTGAAATTTTAATTAGTTATAAAATATCTTTATGGTGTAGAATAATTACATATTTTGTGTTGGGTTGGGTCTTTACTTAAAAATATCGCCAACCTTACCCAACCCAATTAGAAACAAACCGTAGGGTTTTAATTTTTTTAGGTGAGTTTGAGTTTAATATTTCCCAAACCATAGTGCATAGGTCGGGTGATTAAAATGGCGAACCCCGGACCACCCTGACCTATGCACACCCCTACCTAGCAGTTTAAGAAGCTCATTTTTAACTTCCTACAAATGAGGCTTTCGTCGTCTCTAAGGCTATACTATTATTTCTCATCTCCATAAGGATGCTATGAATGGAGTAGGAAGGATCAATCCATTGTATGTCAGTGACTTTCCACGCGATAGATTTCTGGTGCTTTCGAAGCAGAAACACCAGATATTTCTTCTGCTTTGGAGTCAAAGAAAAATAATCATCATCAATAACTTGGAATCGCTAGCTGGGTAAGCGTACTTCAAGTGCTTAGGCAATGGTTTGAGTTCCAAGATAAGGACTTTTCTTATTAAGATGTTTTAAAGATCGAGATTGTTTTAAATTGACCAACTATTCATCTTCTTTTGGTACATATCCTTCACCTTCAAATATTCCCGTTGGGATGCTTTCTCTACCCATCTCCTTCTTCATTGCAACCTGAAACTAAGCGTACCTGAAGCGAATCATCAGAAACACATGCAGTTATTGAATACAATAATTCTATGGGATTAGCATGCATAATGTTATCATTATCTATTTATCTTCTTGAATAGGAACAGGCTTCATTCCCTTTTATATGAACAGGCTCCATGCATGTCAATTGTCAACTAGCACTTGTACAGTTGCTAAGGATGGATGATCAAGTATCAAGGAGCATAGGATCCATTAGTATCCATAGCTATAAAATCTACGGTTAATGTAAATGATCTTACATCTACCACAACATCCTCCATTTTTATCCTAACTGAATTGTCATACCAATGGGCCAAAGACTTCCTAAATTCAGTTTCTTAAACATGCAATATGGCATCACATTAATACGAGCACCATAATCGACTAGGATTCGAGGAACTTCAAAGATACCAATAGTGCACGGTAAAGTGAAACTCCTGGACCTTGAAGCAGTGGTGGAGGGTGAGAAATATGATGAAAGCAATGGAACGACACAGAGGTTTACGTGGTATCCCCGATTGACGGGACTAGTCCACGGGAGAGCACTCGCTCTCCAAGCTGAAATCTTATTTGATTATTCTTGGTTGTGGCCGTCGGCCATACAAGCATATTTATACCCTTCTCTACTTGTGTCTAGGGTAACTGTAAAAGGACAATCAAATATAGAACATGAATGGGCCGCAGTTCCAAGCTTGTGATGAATAGCTCGGCTGGGCTTGATGTGCGAACTCTGGGCCAGATCCATTACTCCCCCGCAAGCTGTGGCGTGAAGATCACGAACGAGCAGCTTGGAGAGCAAAAAGTGGAAACGCTCCGCACCAAGACCCTTGGTGAACATATCGGCAAGCTGGAGATCAGTGCTGACCTTGAAAGGAGCAATGTCACCAGACTGCACTCGCTCACAAACAAAATAACAGTCCATCTCAGGGATTTTTCCAATAATAGACCTTTAAACAAAAAAATTACAAAAATAGCACCCATGTAAAAAAAATTACAAAACTAGCACCTTAATTTTTGGAACGCACCCCTAAGATGCGTTTTAAATGTAAAACGCACCAAACAGATGCGATCTACATGTAAAACGCATCAGAGGGGTGCAATCCATAACATGAAACGCACCAGACTGATGCGATTTGGGGAGGACGCGTTGCGATCCACAGGATCGTCGGATAGATAGCCGATCCAACGGCTCAGCGCACGCCAGCGGAGCGATCCGCGCCTTGGATCCCAGATCGCACGCCAGCAATGCAATCCGCGCCGGTGTCAGTCAAACCGCATTGGGAGGGTGCAATCTGCGCCTGGGGAAGCGGAAAACGCATTGGGAGAATGCGATCCGCTCGGGGCAAAATTATCGCCTCGTCCCTGGAGCCTGCGATCTGAAAAACTATAAATAGCCCCCCTCCCCCTCTCATTTCTTCACACCTTCAACCCATTCTTCCTTCTCTCTCTAAGTTTTATCTCTCTAAACCCTCCCCCTCCCAAAAGCCTAGGAAATAGTGGTCTATTGGTTGCGGCAAAGTCCGATCTGCCATTAGAAAACATTTCTTAGGTTTTTTCCTCAAAACCCGCCGAGCCGAAGTTCTGTCCGAATTGCGCCGAAAAAATGGCCGATTGGTGGCAAGGAGAAGGAGTTTTTGTTGATGAATTTCAAGCGGTACGTACTCATTATTCGGGTTTAATTTTTGTTGTTGTTATCTTGCTTTTTAATTAATCCATTTACTAACCTCGTTGTTATTTTCTCGTAGGCTGCGGAGGACGTCGATATTTACAACCAACGGTATTATCTCGAGCAAGGACCGTTGGATCCAACCGACTTGTACGACCAACCCAACCATCGGTCAAGGGATGTTTGGAACGCTCACCCGGTACATACAATTCTTTACCATTTGTCCTTCTTTTATTTTGTTAATGTATTTAGTGAAAAATAAAATAAATTAATGTTGAATTTTTAATCGTGTTGGTTGTTTTCAATAATTTAATCGAATACATTGCGCCACTTACTTCGACTCTTTATAAAGAGATGCACGTCTAAGGAAATGGGGTTTTAAGCGATTATCATATCCTCCCATTCCCTGGGAAAATCGGGTATTAAGAGATCCTCGGATCCCCCCTTTTTCTGTCAACAAGACTGCGTTTCTTAGAAGATGTATACCTCTTCTAAGAGTCTAACGAGTGTTGCTTTGTATTCGATTAAATTATTTAAAACAACAGAAACGATTAAATAATTTACCAAACAGTCCTTACGATTTATTTTTATGTGTACAAATTGAATTTTATTAATTTCAAACAATTGAATATGTATGTTTCTCTTTAAAATATTGATTCATTAACAATGTCATTTAATTTAGTTAATTTAGTATGTATCTCTTTATGAAATTATTCATTTAGAATGTTATTATGTTAATTAATTTAGGATGTTCGTTTTATGATAATATGTATGTATCTCTTTAAATTATTATTAATTATATGAAATGTCTAAAGTATGATAATAAAATTCTGCTTGAAGTTAAATAATTTAATTTAAGTAATTTAGTTATAAGGATTAAACCCTTACTAATATATAATAATTAACGTGTAAATTTTCTCTAGGAGGCACAAACAATAATCCGCTACAGGGGTACGACCAATGTGCTCCCATTCCACCCAGCCATCTTGCCCTTTCTCAAAAGGGCACGATTGGACTCGATTAGGCATTTTAACGGCATCAAAGTTGATCGCAACTCATCACCGCCCTAGTTGAGAGATGGAGAAAGGAGACCCATTGCTTCAACTTGAGAGAAGGAGAGGCCACCATCACACTAAAGGATGTCGCCATCCTAACCCATCTCCCCATCGACGGCAAACCCGTGTGCGTGAGTGATCATGACCCCGACGATGTCGACGGTATGCCCGGTTGGGTTCATTTCATCTATAGTGTTTTGGGAGTAAAAGTACCAGTGAAGGGGCAAGTTAATGCTACCGATCGCATGCCACCAATGAGGAAACGCCAAGTGTCAATTACTTGGTTGACGAAGTACTTTAGAGAGCATTACGAGAGTCATCCCCTAACCGAGGAAAGTCCGGAGGATGAGATCGAGAGATATGCTCGGGTCTATCTCATTGGCATGATCGGAGGAGTGTTCTTCTCCAAAAAAGCAAGCAATCTCCTTAGTTGTGGATGGCTTAGGATCATCCTCGGTAGTTGGGAGGAGATGGGGGAGTATAGTTGGGCATCCGCTTGCCTAGCTAATATCTACCACAACTTGTGCAATGCCTCTCTAAAAGCTGTGAGGGAGGTCGGCGGCGCAATGTTCATCGTCCAATTTTGGGCTTGGGAACATATGCCATGGCTTGCACCGGTACAACGTCCCGACCGGAATTGTCCAATCGATCATCCCCTAAGAGGGGAAGCTTATGGAACAAGGTAAACTTCTCATACCCATCATGTTTTTTCTTGGTTGATTTTCCCTTGTGTTTTAGCTTATTGTAATTTCGATTATTGTTTTATTAATAAGGTGGATCGGACACTCAACTTGTGACAACCTTGCCCAACACAAGTTGGATGAGTATCGACGGAGGTTTGAGCGACTTTGGGAAGGAGAGGTAACTTCTATACTCCGATCCTTTTATACCTTTTTGCCATGGAAGACATGTATTTTTCCATTTCTAACTATCTTAATTTACTCATTTTGCGCGTGTAGATCATCTTCGATCCATACCCAGAGAACATCATTCATTGGCATCTCCAGCAATTCCCCGAGCATATCGGCCAATGGTGCACGAGGGTCCCTCTCATTAGTTTTGGGATCGTGGAGTGGCACTTGCCGGATCGATGCCTCCATCAGTTTGGTCGGGAGCAGTGCATTCCATTGGAGGTCCCCGAAAGTCAAAAGGCCTTCCATGGTCGAGATGGGCGGCAAGGTAATCGAGATTGGCCCTTGAAGCATGCGAAATTCATCGCCATGTGGAATGAACGACAATCGCAAGATATTGTCACTCCATCAGCAGTGGGGAGAATGGGGTATCATGACCCGTACTTGGATCGATATCGGCAAACATCGGACCGTTACATGACTCCGGAGGGTGCTGCCGATGGTGCATTAGTAAGTATATTCGACTCTACATAATTAAATGTACTATTTTAGTTCATAAATTGTTTCCTAACTTATTGTTTTGTGATTTAGACTGACGGGATTGAGCGGATTAAATACATTACCACCGGGAGAGTGGAGCTTGGAAATGAAGATGTGAGCTTCATCAGGCGGATGGCAAACAGTCTTCTTGGCTGTATCAGAGCTCAAGGGAGGGATCATCGTAGATATCCGCCCATGCCCGCACCGCCGCCACCTCCGGTACAAGTTGATGTCTCCCATCCCCCACCACCATACGAGAGGAAGCCAAGCAAGAGGGTCCGGGAAAGGCCCATCGAGCCCGAAGTCACGCCATATCCAGGGTAGAAAGTACCGCCTCCATTGGTTGTTCCCCAAGGTGTCGGCCCGAGATCCCCCCAAGTCGGCGGCCCGAGCTCTCCCCAAGTTGGCGGCCCGAGTTCATCCCAAGGCACCGGCCAGAGTTCCAGCCAAACTGGCCACCAAGGCTCGTACTACGATCCTCGGGCGACATACCATCAAACTCCTCCGAGTCCCACCCCGATCTCATACAACGATCCCCGTCAAGGATCGTACTACGAGTATCGCCCGATCTACCCCCCATCTCCCCGCCAAGGAGGTTACCACGATTACCGCCCGGTCTACCCACCATCTCCCCGCCAAGGAGGTTACCACGACTACCGCCCGGTCTACCCACCATCTCCCCGCCATACATCATCGGGTACTTGGCATGATGGTTCCTCCGCGACGGCACACCACGATTTTACGCCATGGGCTCACCCTCATCAGCAGTGGCCTCCTACGACTCACCGTACTTCCGTGGATGTCCCCCGCTCAACCCCGGAAGTGCCGATTCCCCGCCGACATAGCACCGACGACCGCCAAACTACCTCGGCCCGAGTTCGAAACTTGCCACCGCAGCCACCGATTGTTACTCCCGTCGGTCGTCGTACAAGGAGCAAGAAAACCGTGGGATCGACTGAAGCTCGTGGACTTCCTTGAGCGGATTTATGAGAGTTGAATTTAATTTCTATGTAATTTGAACTATTCCTATTATCTTAGTTTATTGAATTGATTGTTGTTTCAATTTGGTTTTATTTCCATCCCCTTGGAACTATGCCTTTTATTTCCAATTAGTTCAATCAACAATACAGTGGAGATAAGTAATTTGATTGAAAATTCTGGGTTCTAACCCAACTTCGAGCCAATGAACTATTCCTATTATCTTAGTTTATTTGAATTCCACCCTTCAATCATCTCAAACAAATCGTTCAAAGATCGGGTCAAGTTAATACGAACAAGGCTGGAATTTTCCTAAGTGTTGAGACAGTTTTGGGAAGGGTACTTTGGAAGGCCGCATCTCTCAAACCCTTCAATGGAAATGCAAGGTTAGGGTCTCATTTTGAACCTTGTATGTTTGTTTATAGTTTTATGCATTTGGTTTGTGGAAATAAGGTCAGGAAGATAGTTTTTGGCTAAGGCAGGAAAACAGTTTGAGGTACCAACTTTGAGCTCGAATTCAAGGAGTTTGGGGCATGACCAGCTGGAGTTTGGAGTTGGGAATGGAATGGCAAGACTTTCTAAACCAAGGGAAGTAATTGATTGAGCTCGACTCAACCCATAAGACCGAGTTCCATAACCACAAAGTTGACATCAAAGGCTGTTTTGGAACAGTTTACTTGTGAGAGAAGTTAGTAACTTAGGATGCAAGTTTTGATTGTTAAACGTTTTCTTTTTCCTTTATCTCAGTTTCGTGTTGAAGTTCCTGATTTAGTTCGTTAATTTCCATCGAGTTTCATCCCCAAATTCATCCAATTTTGATTCATCGCTGCGTGATTCTGAGCTAAGCTAATCGAGGGCTTATCACACAATACACATTTACTTCAATCAACATTACACATTTAATTGCAAAGTAAGAGTCTCAACATGCTTGAAAAAAAATGATAAAAGCAAACTATGTCGCATTAGCTGATTCCGACACATCAGGATCCGGATTTTGCGGACCAATCGGGCCTGGACATCTTCGTTTATCATGTCCTGGAACTTTGCATATTGAACATCGTCTTGGGCCCCGTGGTGGTCTTCCACTTTGATCCATTTCGTTTGGAATTCTCTTTTTCCTCGGGCGACCCGGCTCACGCCTCTGTCCGAACGGCGGGATGATCAATTTTCCTTCGTACATCGGCCAATAAACTTCATCAGGCAATGCACGAAAACTCCTTCCATAGGTGTTTTTGAGTGAGTCGATATTGAAGAACGGACTAACAAAGTGACGTGGGTCTTTGCTCCTGTTTTTAATTACGGCCATTGCATGAGAACAAGGCCACCCTCTACCTTGATACTTCTGGCATGAGCACTCACCAACTTTTGTCCTGAAATTGACCACAACTTCATGGCGGTGGCCCCCCCGTCTACCGTCCTCCCGATGCCCGGTCGTCACGCTATACTCGCCATTTGCCCGATTCATAACGGTTACACTATGTCGACTGCTCTTGCCATTGTCATTCTCCATTACTTCCATGACTTTATAGGCATGGACCTTACCCTGTGCCTCGTTTGTTCTGGCCCAGTGGAGTCGGTTGACGAACCATGCATTCGTTTTCCAAAAAGTCATCTCCACAATGGCAGAGATTGGCAGTGCACGAACGGCCTTGTAGACAGAGTTGATACTCTCACCTGAGTTCGTTGTGGCAATACCCCATCTTGTCCCTCCATCTTTATGAAATGTCCACATGGATAGGTCATGTCCAGTGCACCACTGTGCCCCCTCAGGGCATAACTCGCGCAACTTCTGCATCTTCTCCATAAATTTTTTTTCTTGGTAGGCAACCGCTGAGGAAGACACAGAAAGTAGTATGTTAGACAATTTTCGGCAATTTAGTACAAATTCGAATACCCGGAGTTACTCTCGTTAGACTCTTAGGAGAGGTATACATCTCCTTAGAAACACAGCCTGTTTGACAGAAAAAGGGGGGATCCGAAGATCGCTTAAAACCCGATTTTCCCAGGAAATGGGAGGATCATGATAATCGCTTAAAACCCCATCTCCTTAGGCATGCATCACTTTAGAAAGAGTCTAACCAGAGCACCACTCGCCAAACGTACTAAGATATTGTAATTGGAACTAAATTATACGGCTAATTACAAACTTACCAATCCACCACAAATTATCAGCAAGCTTCTTCCGCTTGAAATGATGGTTCCAGTTGCTCTTGAAGTGTCATATGCACCACCTTTGGGACCACTTCCAGGCTGGATCTAAACCTAAGATGGCAGCTCTAATGCCGGCGTGCCGATCAGAGATTATTGTAAGGTTCGTCCTCCTAGTACAATGGATCTGGATTTGCCGGAAAAACCACCCATAGCTATCAGCATTCTCTCCCTCAACGATGGCGAAGGCTAAAGGAAAGACTTGTTTGTTTGCATCCGCCCCACTGGCAATCAGGAGAGTGCCCTTGTACTTGCCGGTAAGGAATGTTCCATCCACTTGGATGATAGGGACACAGAAGCCAAAACCATCAATACATGGCGCTTGTTACCTGGCTCTGGGGGTTGTATCTCTTCATCTTGGTATCGAGGGGAGAAAATCGTGCCAGGGTTAGACGCCTCCAATGCCAAAATTAATCTGGGAAGGAATGCATACGATTCTTCCCAATCACCAAAGACGGCGGCCAGAGCTTTCTGCTTTCCATGCCACGCCTTCTTATAGTTAATCATATAACCATAACGACTTGCAATGTCAGCGATTATGACTTTCACCTTTAGGTCTGGCTCTTGCTCAATTAGATGCTTGATAGCCGCAGCAACCACCCTGGATTTCAACTGTCGATGGCCTTGGGAAGTTATGGATGACACACATGTGTGTGTGTTCACCGCACGGGATATGACCAAGCAACCGTGTCTCTTGCTGTTGATGGCCCGAATCCTAACATTGCACCCCTCGTGATGATTACGGCATCTGACTAAGAGCCTTTTAGTGTTGGAATGAGTTGTGAGCCATTCAAAATGCCGAGTCATTGCTTCTGTCTCAATGGCGTGACGCACATCCTTCTTCGAGCCAAATTGTTGGCCCTTCATAAACCCAGTGAGTGGACCCCATATTGGGACCTCTGGCGGCTCCATGTCGCTGTCGACCATCCAATTGTCGTCTGGAATGTGATTGTAGTAGGGGACTGGTACACGGTCACGAGCCCCCTCATCATCATTAGCTGAGTCTGACTCTGGTCCGGAATCATCGGCACCTTCTAGAGGGTCGGAGCTGTCTGCACTGACGTTGTTCTCTCCTTCTTCATCGGAGGGGTCACTGACTGGTGCTGCCATGACATCCTCCATCTGATCCAGCTCATGAAAGGCACCTTCATCAGCTCCATAATGGTAGTTGTGAAAACTACCGCTGCCTGAGAGGAAGTTGTACTGAGGTTGGTTGGGCCGGTCCGGTTGAACTTCTTCTTCATATGATTGATGATGACCTTCACCTTGCTCTTGGTACTGAAAATATGAATTAGGATCATGGTAACTTTGGTAGAGATGATCGCCATAGTATTCACCTCCACCATGGATACCAGATGTTTGACCGTGTCCAGAATGACCTCCAACGCCTACGACCGGCTCGGTGTAAACGAACATCTCGGCTTTGGAAAGATTGTTGGACCTCATGAATTCGAGCATGGCGTCTACCTCATCCTGAGTGGTTATGAGATATTCCTCATGCCACAATGACCCACTTTCTCTGTTTGGATATCGGTACACCATACGATCAACTTTTCTCGTGCCATCCATGCAAGTAACGTTAGTGCACATTTGATGGAGGTCTTCAAGCAGCGGTCTGGTAGCGACCTTTATCTTCTGAAAATTTCCACCTACGTAGGTGGCACCCTTTCCGGTCTCTTCCGTGTAACCATTCCACCGTAAGCCAAGCGTGAACTTTTGGAATGCCATCTGCGATAAAACCGTAGTTAAGTTAATATCATAAAAATCAAAAATAAAAATTAACAATAAAAAGTAATACTAAATCAACTTACGAGTTAACGTTAATAGCAAAACTACTAAAGAAATATGTAATACTAAATCAACTTACGAGTTAACGTTAATCGCAAAACTACTAAATAAATATGTAATACTAAATCAACTTACGAGTTAACGTTAATCGCAAAACTACTAGAAATATAGAGCTACAACAGAAAATTGAAAAGGGAAGGGAGAAGGAGAGGTGTGAAGAGAAATGGTTGTCCGGGAGGCCTTTTATAGGCAAAATCTTGATGAAAACCGCACCTTAGAGATGCGATTTTCGTCTGCCATGCAGGCCCATGCAGACCCACGTCTGTAACGTCTGTATGGATGTCGGATATTGATTGACCAAAACCGCACCTTTAAGGTGCGGTTTGCATGTTAAAATCGCATCCTCATGGTGCGATTTTGTCTGGCAGATGCAAATCGCATCTCGGCCATGCGATTTTACTAGGTCAGACATAAAATCGCACTTTGGCCATGCGATTTCAGTAGGTCAGACCTAAAATCGCACCTCGGCCATGCGATTTTATTAGGTCAGACCTAAAATCGCTTGGCTAAAGTGCGATTTAATTCCAGATTTTTGGACGCACTTGTAGGGTGCGATCTATATTTAAAACGCACTTGTAGGGTGCGATTTATATGTAAAACGCATCTACAAGGTGCGTTCTATTAAAAAGGGTGCTATTAGTGGAAATTTTTACGGATGGGTGCTATTTTTGTAAGTTTTTTTTTTAAAGGTGCTATTTCTGGAAAAATCCCTCCATCTCAACGTGTTTGGTGCGCTCATGAAAGACTGGGTTGACTGCAATATGAAGGGCAGCCTGATTATCACAATGCAGCAGAGTGGCAGCATGCTGTGGAGCCCCAAGCTCACTCAAGAGCCATCGTAACCAAAGGACCTCACTAACAGTGCTAGCCATGGCTCTATACTCAGCCTCAACAGAAGAGAGAGCGACAACATGTTGTTTCTTGGTGCCCCAGGAGACGGGAGCTCCACCAATCACATAACCAGTGGTAGACCTGCGGGTGGACTAACAACCACCCCAGTCCGCATCGCAATAGGAAACTAGATCCAAAGAGCTCGCTGCAGAAAAGAAGAGGCCTTGCCCTGGTGCCTCCTTAAGGTAGCGGAGTATCCGCTGAGCAGCATCCATGTGGGCCCGAGTAGGGGCATGAACAAACTGACTAAGGATGTTGACACCATAGGTGATGTCAGGAAGAGTCACTGTCAGGTATAGCAAGCGTCCAACTAACCGACGATACGCAGCGGGGTCAGGATGATCGGCAGGTGCAGGTCGAGTGAGATGATGATTCTGTTCCACCGGAAAGGCACTGGGACGACAACCCATAACACCAGAATCATGAAGTATGTCCAAAAGATACTTGAGTCGGCTAAGAACCATACCCTCTGGAGAACGTGCTACTTCGAGTCCAAGGAAGTAGCGTAGATTGCCCAGGTCCTTGATACTGAACCGAGAGTGAAGAAATTTTTTAACATGAGAGATAAACTCAAGACAGGTGCCGGTGAGGACGACATCATCAACATAGATGAGAGCAGCGACATGGATGCTCCCCCAGCGAAAAATAAACAGAGAGTGATCAGCAGGAGAAGGCCGGAAACCCAACTCACGAAGCGCGGCGGTAAACTTATGGTACCACTGCCGCGAAGCCTGGCGAAGACCATAAAGAGACTTGTGGAGTTTGAAGACTCGGGTATCCCCAGGCGCAGCAAAGCCTTGGGGAATACACATATAAACTTCCTCATCTAGATCACCATGGAGGAAGGCGTTGTTGACGTCTAACTGATGAATGTGCCAGCCTTTACTGACAGCAACCACAAGTAGGCAACGAACAGTAACGAGCTTAGCAACGGGGGCGAAAGTATCATGAAAATCCACACCCTCAATCTGTGTGTAGCCTTTTGCCACTAACCGTGCCTTAAAACGTTCAATAGTACCATCGGGTAGAAATTTCACCTTGTATACCTATTTCGAGCCGATGACACGCTTGCCGGGGGGCAAAGCCACAAGGCTCCAAGTCCCATTTTGCTCAAGAGCATGAATCTCCGCTATCATGTCCTTGCGCCAACGTTCATCCTTGATTGCCTCATGGAAGGTCCGAGGTTCTGGATTATGAGCAACAGCTGCGAGAAAGGCGCAATAATTAGCTGAAAATTTCTCATAACTCAAGTGATCAGATAAAGGATATTGAGTATGGTGAGAATCATTCCCTGTATAATAGATGTCAAGTTTCTTGGGAGGTACACGATTTCGGTCGCTGCGGTGCAAAGGGGGAGGGGCGGGCTCAACTGGAGAGGGCTGATGGCCCGTAGAAAGTTGCTCACTGGGCTGCTCCGAACTCTGGGCCATGGCGCTCGGCTGGACAGGCGAAGTAGGCGAGGGCGAGAGGGAGCTCGCATCCCGCTGGGCCAGGTCCAGGCTGCGAGGAGAGGAGGACGAGTTAACTGGGCCGGGCTGGGAGGAGGCAGCAGGGCGAACAAGAGTGGGCCGAGGCTGCTGCTGCTCAATAGCGCCAGCTGGGCCAGCGTCCGCCAAGGAGGGCCCAGAAGCAGGCGGGAGAGGGCCTGGGTGACGAGGGGGGCTTCCGCCAGCAGACTGAAGAAGTTCATCGTCCAAATTATCCATGGGGCGATGAAAGACATCCCGGGGAATCCAGTGCAGGTGTGTAGAGGTCTCTGACTGGAAGGGAAAAACGTCCTCATGAAAAACAACGTCTCGACTGGTAATAATCCGTCGAGTTCCAAGATCATAGGCGCGATAGCCCTTTTGGCTAGCGGCATAACCAAGAAAGAGGCAAGCACGACCACGCTCATCAAATTTACCAAGATGCCCACGTGTATCCTTACAATATACGAGGCAACCGAAGACACGCAAATGAGAATAATTGGCTGGCTTACCAAAGATAACCTCATAAGGGGTCTTCCCCGTGGCAGTAGTAGGCAAGCGATTTATCAAGTAGGTCGCGGTAAGGATGCACTCTCCCCAGAATCGAATGGGAAGTGAGGCTGGAAAACGGAGTGCGCGAGCTGTCTCAAGTATATGCCTATGCTTGCGTTCGACAACGCCGTTCTGTTGCGGCGTATCCGTACAGGATGTCTGGAGAATAATGCCAGCTTGTTCATAAAACTCACGCAACTCAACGGTGTTGAACTCCGCACCATTATCCGCCTGTATGCGCTTGACCTGTTTACCAAATTGGGTTCGAACAAGATTATAGAACAAACGCAGATAGCGACCAACTTCGGACTTAAACCGGAGAAGATAAACCCAAACGCCTCGACTAAAATCATCAACGATAGTCAAAAAATAATGTGCACCACTAAGGGAAGGTGTACTGTAACACCCCCCCCCCCCCCCCAATATCCAGATGCAACATCTCAAAACAGGAAGAAGTACGGATCCCACTAACAGGAAATGGCGTTCGAACTTGTTTGGCCCGAGAACATGAATGACACAAATCGTTCTTGGAAATTGAAAAACCAGGAATAAACTGTTGAAGCTTGTTCATAACCGATGCCGAGGGGTGACCTAAACGCGCATGCCAAGGAGTAGTACCGAGTGGCGCACCCTTGGTAACCGCGTACGCCTTGACCTGCTGACATCCAAACAAGCGAAGGTAATAGAGTCCTTCACGAATCTCCCCCTTCCCAATCACGTTCCTGGAGTGTAAGTCCTGTATGATGCAAAAATCACCAAGAAATATTAACGCAACCCGATGCTCCTGACATAACCTGCTGACCGATAAAAGATTGCATTGGAATTCCGGTACATAGAGGACCCGATTAAGAACCATCCCATCATCTAACCGAACAGATCCGACACGCCGTACCGGAATGCTAGCCCCATTTGGTATGCGGACAAGGTGACAAGGAACACTCGGCTCATGGGAAAATAACAGAAAAATCATCCATGGTTATATGAGCAGTACAGCCAGAATCAAGTAACCATTCAGGTTGGTTAAGAACAGTAAACGTACCCGCCATATGACTAGAAGGGTCAGCGTCATGAGAAACTTGGCCACCGAAGTATTGCCGCAAAAGTTCAAGTTGTTGCACCGAAAATTCGGGGACCGGGCTCCTGTCTGCTTCAGCTTAGGATGCGCGGGGATTACCTCGCTGGGAACGAGAATTGCCATCATCGAGCCCAGAGTCGCGATTCCGACGTCGATCTTGTCTCTCAGACTGCTTGTCACGATCGCGCTGCGGCCACCCGATAAGCACGTAGCATGTTTCCTTAGAGTGGCCATTTTTAAGGCAATGAGTGCACTGGAGTTTCGTTCACTCGCCACCACCCCGATCACGTTCGCCGGACCCGCGATCACGAGGAGAGCGACTATCAAGGGAAGTTTTGTCCGCTTCCCTGCGGGTAGCAAAAGCGGCGGCTTTCGGGACGGGCTTGCGATGCTGAGTCAGAGTACGCTGCTGCTCGTCGTTGTAGACGATCCGGAACGCTTCAGGCAAGGACGGCAGGCTTGCCATAGACAAGATGTGGCTGCACACAGTGGCAAACGACTCATCAAGGCCTAAGAGAAAGTCGAGCAGCCTCAGCCGCTCATTCTGGTCGGGACATCGTCGCCCACAAGAACAAATTGGCGGCGGTAATATAGATTGGGTTTCTTCCCATATCTGTCGAAGCTTGGTATAAAATCCAGAAACGGACTGCTTTTCTTGCTGAAGCAAGCTTACATGGCGAAGGAGTTCGTATGCCCTCGTCAAGTTTCCTTTGCTGAAGCGGTCTTGGAGATCTTGCCATATCTCCCCCGCCGACTTCGCGTGCATGACACTGGTGCGGAGCTCGGCATCCATGGCCGTCCGTAACCAACCTTTTACGAGGGCATCGCATCGTACCCAAGCTCGTGACAATGAAGAATCTCCGACGGACAAGCAATTGTCCCATCAACAAAGCCCAACTTATTTTTCGTAACCAAGGCATCCCACATCTCAAGAACCCATTCGCTGTAATTGGATGGGGTCAAAAGGCTACTTACGTGAAGGTGACCTGTACTGTCATATTGGTGAATGAAGTAGGGGCTGTGTGCATCGATCTCCTTGTCTCCAGAGCCAGAACTGATCAACTTCGACGTTGGCGTCTCGAGACTAGAAGCGTCATCAGCCAAGATGCAACGAGAAGCTGGATTAGATCACAGCTCTGATACCATGAGAAATATGATGAAAGCAATGGAACGACACAGAGGTTTACGTGGTATCCCCGATTGACGGGACTAGTCCACGGGAGAGTACTCGGTCTCCAAGCTGAAATCTTATTTGATTATTCTTGGTTGTGGCCGTCGGCCATACAAGCATATTTATACCCTTCTCTACTTGTGTCTAGGGTAACTGTACAAGGACAATCAAATATAGAACATGAATGGGCCGCAGTTCCAAGCTTGTGATGAATAGCTCGGCTGGGCTTGATGTGCGAACTCTGGGCGAGATCCATTAGAGGGAGGCTTTGAGGGGAGGGGGGGGGGGGGGTCCTAGGACCCCACTTACCAAAAAATTGGGTGTCAAAATCCTTTAAATATATGTGTTTTAGCATGATTCTTGAAAGATAGGACCCCACACTTTCGCCGATATTACCTCACGTAAAAACCCCAATCAATTCAAAAATTTAAGGACCCCGGTCCATTCAAAATCTTGCTACGCCACTGCCTCTAAGTCTTTTTGGAAGTCTTCTATGCTTCAATATGACTTAGCATTTGAACCCAGCTGCATGATTATATGTACCTAGCCTTTTCTTTTTGGCTAGAATTTCCTTCACGAATTTTGCATATCAGGCATTTTAGCTATAGCCTCAATGATGAGCCACCAGCGCTTATTCTTCATCCATTGCTGCAATTCACACCTAGCACACAAAGGAGAAAGGTCGAGAAGTAGGACAAAGTTTGAGTAGGAGACTCAATGAGAGCTAGATTGGGAGGATTTTTACCAAAACCCGGACTGGGATGCTAGAATGCATCACTTGCTCAATAGTGCTGAATTGGTGGAGCTCTTCGGGAGAGAGTGTTGTCGTTGAGAGAGTTCTTAGAAACTCTGAAGGTGTCACTAGTAGGAAACTCGAGCCAGGATTGTATCACATACCAACTGGCGGGGAAGCGCTTCAAGGACATCTATGACTACTTTCCAAACCAATAAAGTTGTTTTACCAGGTAAATCCTGGAATATTTCAAAAGGAAAAAGTTTGCCAAATTTCTGGTGGTAACAAGGGCTTACGCAAGTAACTGAAACTTTTTTTGGACAGGAAAGTATCTGAAACTAACTGGTAAACTTTTCTGGACATCAAAATGTGAGAATTTACACATCCTGCCTTCACTTTTCCCAGCCACACATCACATGGTTAACTTAAACGATGGATGATGCCACAGTTTGAACAGCTTGTGGCAGCTGAACACTCACTCACTGTCCCCAACCCCAGTAAATAATAAAAAAGAAGAAAGGTTCCACAAGTTATCAAGGTTTCAGAAAAGTAGTACTGAAACCAGCTTCGCCAGTATGGATCCTATAAGATACAACACAGCACCTAGCTGCAAAAAAGTTTACAAGGGCTGCCTGGCAGTCAGATATTTGAACGTACGTTCTCGGCATGTCTGTCATCTTCTTCGTGAGTGCCAGAGTTTCCGAAGGCACGAAACTCAAGACGATCAAGAAGCCCTGTTGAGGAGTCCATTTGAATCGTATGGTCAAATTTACATGCAGGACCAAACTTGCAGATCCCATAGCGGTAGGAAACACATACATTCTGATCCTGGATTCATGATAATAAAGGTAGGTAAGCAGTAAGCGCTGGAATGGTAAGAGGAAATACGGTAAAATTCAATCAGTATTTGAGAACAGTGATGGATTTTGCCGTAGTTTAGATGTTGGGTACGCTTGCTTTGGCTAAAAAACGTGTCTGAAGAAACAAATACGCTTCTTTAATCTAGCTTTTTTAAACCAACTCATTCAAAACCCTCAATTCATTTAGATCTACAAGGCACCAATACTATTAAAATTTCATACGGGCTCTACGCAAAGAGCGACTCTAAATGCACTTAACTTTTGCAATGAACTATATAGGATAAAGTGAACTTACAGGTCTCAATGGCAGGCCCTTATCACTAAGAATACAGGAAGGCGATTTCGTGATCCGAGTTTTAGGATGATTGAACTTGCAGTTGCCCTTTAACTCGCACACCCCAGTTTTCAAGAAAGAACAGCAATACGGTTGACCAGGCCTCTCTGGGTACTCATCTACTACCATCGGTTGTTGAGATGGAGCCATACCTTGCTCTGGCGGTGGATATACAGGACCCTTGACAAGCCACAAAAAGAGAATGTACAGACAAATATTAAGACGAGCATTCTTTCAAAAATAAAAGAATGCACAGGGTAACACGGAAGCATTATCAATCTTATTGCCCAAGATATCACTTTAGCTTAGTACGTTTTATTGACATATGGGTTTGGCAAATTGGGCGCATAAACATCAAGTCCAATAAAACATCAGAGGTTGTGTTCAAGTGCAGATAGCAACTAAGTGTGTGTTGAGAACTATTTGTTCTTAAAACCCTTTCTTTTGAGTCTCCCAGCAACAATCACTGTATTACGTGCCTCTAGACAATTATACGTACACCTCTTTGTGAAGCATCGATTACATGCACCGTGTAACTTTCTTCCTAACTTGTTCAGTTACAGATTCTTGTTAGACGCTATAAAGGGTATGGTTTGCTGAGAAGGTACAGAGCATGAGTGAAAACTACAATTCCAGTTCTAACAGAGTTCGCAATCTAGGGTAAATATTGGAGGATCTGCAATGTGGTAAGATCATGTATATGCATGGAATGAGAACACAGGGACGAAATGAAGAGCAGTACAATTAAGTTTAGAGAGCACCTGTGAGACAAGGGGTAAGAGGCACAAATACAAAGATCCGTAAGTTCATCCAAACAACATTCAATACCTGATGACCATTCCATTCAAGATTCTGGGAACTTGTGCTTTGATTTGAGGGAAACAATATTGGGACATTAGGGGGAGTGTCATTCAGTGCTGGTCGTGGCGGTGGGGGAGACCATGGTGGTATGTTTGAATGTGATGAAGCATTGATGGATGAAGAACCACCATTAGCAATTGGTGAAGAATGTTCATTGGCCCCCACCACTGTAGGATCAGGATGATTAAACCTGCAGTTTGACCCATACTTGCACGAGCCATTGCGCATATAATATGGACACTCTTTCTCTCCCTGAGGAAGGTCAAATCACACATGAGCGTTCCTTTATCCAGCAATTCGTAAAGTTACACCTGATATCTAATTGCAAAAGTGAAAGGTATACCGGTCGGATTGGTAGACCAAGAAAGTTAAACTCAAGAATCTGCACCACTGGTGGTTTTGCAAAGACGGCTGGAGTTCTCACTTTTGAGTGGTTGAATCTACAAGCTTTCCCATACTTACAGCCCCCTGTCCTCAAGTAATACTATAAAAAAGCTCGAGTCAATTACATCACCAGAAAAATAAATTATTAACTTGAATAGCCAATCACGACGCCAACAAGAAAAGAGTTTAACAAGCAACAACTGGTGCAAGGGATGACTTATTCACTAAGAACCTAAATGAGAGATTCCTACTAAGCTTGACAGTTAATAAGTTGCCTGACAGTTCCCATGCCCAAATCTATAGCCCAGTTTCCTGCCTATGGACCAAGAAAAATGTAGATTCCCAAGTGAGGTGAGATTTAAGTATCAGCCAGAATACTGCACCTTAAAAGTTCCAATGGCCCGGCATATGAATACGTAGAAATTGAGAAACTTCTGGTCTACTGTGGATTGTGAATCTTGTAATAGCGAATTTTATCCATAGCTAAACTAACGCAGATAACGTACTACTGAAATAACCATCACATCCTGCTCGAGAAGACACTCAGGCCAAAAGTACCAGCCTCATGAGTTACTAATACTACAATTATGCAAACGGAATATCTAGAAAAGCAGCACCATGAAAAGGAAAACGTACACACACAATAATCAGATTATATGAAGGCAACAAATAACCTTGCATTCAATCTGCTCTGGTCTCTCTGCTGATTCTTCTTTCTCCCCCATTCTTTCCCTCATCACCTTTCACATACCAAAACACGAAGAGGTCAGCAAAACCTTAATTACAATGCTCGTTATATGGCCAATTATCAAAATACAATCAAACCGAGTGAAAACAGTATCCACATAAACATAGGGCCTGAAAATCAACTCATTTAGGGTCGGGGATAAAGAAAACGAAGAACAAGAAAATGCATTTACAAAGAAGAAGAAAAAAAAACACTTTCGGACCTGGGTTTTCTGCTTAGCCGGGTGATTAAATTTGCAGTTGGAGGCGAATCTGCAATTCCCTGTCTTCATATAGTAAGAGCAGTCTTCGGCTTCAGGCCTCACCGGAAACTGGTGATGCCTAATCATCCCACCGCCATTACTTTTTGTCTGCTTCCACTCCTCGTCTCCTTCATTCTCCTCCAGCGTCTCAGCGTCCTCGTTCATATTCCGAACATTTGGTTCTTCAAGGACATCACTCTCTCCATTGGTATGTTGCTCCACCGACTGCTCCTCAACCTCTCTTCGGCCATTTAACTGGCTCGAATCTCTCTCAGTTTCCAGCACCACCACCCCCTCCTCTTCGCCGAGAGGCTGCTTCAGCTGCAGCTGCTTCCCAACGAGCTGATGGAGCTGCTCCAGCTGCTCTTCATCCTTGTCAGCGGCGTGATCAAGAGGAACATGCTCACATGAGGAGGGTTGAGGATCTGGATCCTGAACAGGGGCTAAGGGCGAGGGAGATTGAATCTCGAGGAGGCTGGCTCCACTGGGATCAGAAATGGAATTGGCTGATTCAGGTTCCTCCATGGCTCACCGCATTTCAATTCTCCCAAAAAGAAAAAACCCTAATTTCTGAAGTAACCAATAAAGAGAGACAAAATACAGAAGAGAGCGAGGGAACGAGAAAGGGGAGAGAGAGAGAGGAGAGAGACAGTTGCCTTCGTCTTATGTAAAGTGACGATTTGAAAGCTCGAGAAAAAATGAAAAGTGAAAAACAACCGCAAAATTAGCAAGGTTGCCCGATCAAGAAATTGGTAAAAGATTAATCTATATACGTGGAAAAAGTTGTCCCAAATACTGTGACAGAAATTAGTAAACACTCGATTTGTCAACCCATAGAGTTCTATAAAGTTCTGAATCATAGAAATCATTCACGTCTTGATCTTGAAATTGTTATTTGGGATTGGAGGAGAGAAGGATAGGCAACTGCACATCATCTACACTTGAGTGAGTGTAGGATCCAATAGTCCTTGGAGAAACTCTCGATTGTGGTTGAGGTTGTTGCTGTTGTTGTTTCGTCATAATGTTGTCGTTCTCTTGTTGGAGAGTTCTACTAAGAGTTATGAGGGTCCGTTCAATCTCAGTATCAAGTGGCATGAGATTGATTGGAACCCGTCTTTGCATGCAAGAATAGTTAACACAAAAGCTCAAAAACACTCGTGATGCGACAGTGAAACAAACAAAGTAACCATATAAGCATAAAATAAAAGCAATAAAGCCATACTAGATTAACAATCAAGCTTAACTCCAGCTAGTTATCAGTAAAATTTCTAACAACAGTATCAAAAACTTGATTCCACCAGTGTGAGATAGAGTAATAAAAATGATGCACACTAACTCATAACCCTAACAATGATAAGTATATCATTGTTAGACTTGCAATATAGAGGTTCAGTCATATTTTCCTAGGATCCGTGATACCCTACCCTATTCTTGTTAAGCTAGACTATTATGTACTCGACAATTGTTTGGTTTTGGTATTAAGGAACTACTTGTCACTAGAAACAATAAAAGAGAAAACGATACTCGGGGCAAGCTACCCACACCCTAATGACAGGAAAATATGCAATTGACAAGTAAAGAATCTATGGTAGTTGTGGTGTAGAGGTAACTAAAATTGGGGGTCGGTGCAATGGCCATGTCTCACCCTCCTAGCCACATCCACTGACCCAATGTCACCACAACCGACTTCCATGACTAAGAGTTATGTTTTACCTCCTCTAAACTAGTTCTACCCATTCGCACACAAATTCTACAAGTCGATGGTCACGCACTTGTGTCCTGACCATTACCTAGGTGAGCTTCTAGTTGGCAGGGGATGGTCACCAAGTCCACCAACTAGGACTCCATATCAATACACATACAACCAAGAGTGTACCTAATTTGACTCAGGCTAGATCATGTTATACATGTATTCACACACCCAAACTCAAATAGAGCCATTAATAACGCTAGGTAAACATTAATTAATCATAAATTAACGATACACATTCAATTGCATCTCAAACCCTAGGTTAGGGATTGGGAGCAAAGCCATGAGTACCTTAAAGAACTATGATGACACATAAAATATGTTATTTAGACCCTCATATTATGACCTAAAGAGCATTGATAGCTCAAAGTGTATTTTAGTAGCTCTAAGACTGCTTTTATTATTATTATTATTATTATTATTATATGATTTAATAGCGTTTTGTGCATTTTCAGGTTAAAGCAAGCTAGAGAACCACTAAGGAGCACTGCGGGACATTAGGGCTCGACCGTTAGGAGCAAGAATAAAAGAGGAGACCCCGCAAACACACCCGCAAACCGATCCACCCGTCCAACCCACCCGTATATATAGCTAAAGTTAAGGTTTTGGGTTGGGTGAGGATTTTATTTTGTACAACCCGCATTTTTTCTGTTGGGTTTGGATTTTGGATTACACAACCCGTAGAACCTGACCCAACCTGTGTTCCCACTATTGGTATGAATTTGTATCCAAAAAAAATTTATGTCGTATATAACCATACTTATGAGAAAATTAAGATATTCCGCCATGTTTTTCTCACTTGGTCTCCTTAATCTAATGCATTCTTCGGCTTAAAGTTTAGACATAGATTTAATATAGCTATGATTCACGTAATTTTTTTTCTTGTGTACAATTTTAATAGAATAACATATTATGGATGCGTTCGTTTATAACATTTTTAGCCTATTTCAACAAATATAGTGGGAAAAAAAACTAGACATATGTGGAAGTAAATCACATTTTATTAAAATTTAAACAATATTTGTGAATTTTGATATCTTTCACCTCGGTTTATTCGTTTGAAACTTTAATTAGTTATAAAATATCTTTATGGTGTAGAATAATTACATATTTTGTGTTGGGTTGGGTCTTTACTTAAAAATATCGCCAACCCGACCCAACCCAGTTAGAAACAAACCGTAGGATTTTAATTTTTTTAGGTGGGTTTGGGTTTAATATTTCTCAAACCGTAGTGCATAGGTCGGGTGATTAAAATGGCGAACCCCGGACCACCCGACCCATGCACACTCCTACCTAGCAGTTTAAGAAGCTCATTTTTAACGACTTCCTACAAATGAGGCTTTCGTCGTCTGTAAGGCTATACTATTATTTCTCATCTCCATAAGGATGTTATGAGTGGAGTAGGAAGGATCAATCCATTGTATGTCAGTGACTTTCCATGCGATAGATTTCTGGTGCTTTCGAAGCAGAAACACCAGATATTTCTTCTGCTTTGGAGTCAAAGAAAAATAATCATCATCAATAATTTGGAATCGTTTGAGTTCCAAGATAAGGAATTTTCTTATTAAGATGTTTTAAAGATCGCGATTGTTCTAAATTGACCAACTATTCATCTTCTTTTGGTACATATCCTTCACCTTTCAAATATTCTCGTTGGGATGCTTTCTCTACCCATCTCCTTCTTCATCGCAACCTGAAACTAAGCGTACATGAAGCGAATCATCATAAACACATGCAGTTATTGAATACAATAATTCTATGGGATTAGCATGCATAATGTTATCATTATCTATTTTTCTTCTTTTATATGAACAGGCTCCATTCCCTTTTATATGAACAGGCTCCATGCATGTCAACTAGCACTTGTACAGTTGCTAAGAATGGATGATCAAGTATCAAGGAGCATAGGATCCATTAGTATCCATAGCTATAAAATCAACGGTTAATGTAAATGATCTTACATCTACCACAACATCCTCCATTTTTATGCTAACTGAATTGTCATACGAATGGGTCAAAGATTTCCTAAATTTAGTTTCTTAAACATGCAATATGGCATCACATTAATACGAGCACCATAATCGACTAGGATTCGAGGAACTTCAAAGGTACCAATAGTGCACGGTAAAGTGAAACTCCTGGACCTCGAAGCAGTGGCGGAGGGAGGCTTTGAGGAGGGGGGTCCTAGGACCCCACTTAACAAAAATTTGGGTGTCAAAATCCTTTAAATATATGCATTTTAGCATGATTCTTGAAAGATAGGACCCCGCACTTTCGCTCCTCACGTAAAAACCTCAATCAATTCAAAATTTTTAAGGACCCCCGTCCATTCAAAATCAGGCTACGCCACTGCCTCGAAGTCTTTTTGGAAGTCTTCTATACTTCAGTATGACTTAGCATTTGAACCCAGGTGCATGACTATATGTACCTAGCCTTTTCTTTTTGGCTAGAATTTCCTTCACGAATTTTGCATATCAGGCATTTTAGCTATAGCCTCAATTAGGGGTGGGCAACGGGAAACGGGTATTTGGGTATACCCGTACCCGTCCCTTTTTTAAGGGTTACGGGTACCCATATTACCCGTAATATTATAAACGGATGGGACTTGGGGTTGTACATTCCTAATATGGGTACCCGCGGGTTACCCTCGAATACCCGTTTGGGTAATATGGGTACTCGTTATACCCATTTAATACAAAGGCAGTCCAGCCCCATTCAGAACCCTGGTCATTTTGGCCCTCACCCTTGCAATTTCAATTCCATTTGCCATTTGGGCCCAGGGCCCTTACCCTTTCAGTGAGACGCAGCTTCTCTGCTATAGATTTTAGCTTCCCATTAACCTAAAAATTTGGACACTTTCTGCATTCAACAACACAAGAAAAGTAGCAGCATGCCTCCCATTTTGTTGTGTTGAATGAAACTTCTTATTTGATAATTTGGTGCTTGGAATGATTTATTTCTATGTGTTGTGATTGTTCATGAATGTGTTATTTGCAAACCGAGTATTTGTGATTGGGATGTATTTTGTGTCTTGTGATTGTTAAGCAAATACAAGTTTAAGCTTTTTCTTAAAATTTTAGTGGTTTAAACTTTGGGTATTTATGGGTAGTATGGGTACCCGTTATCCGTCGCGTACGGGAAATGGGTACCCGTTTCCCATATGGGTTTGGGATATGGGATGGACTTTGGTCTCCAAACGGGACTGGGTACCCGTTTAAAACGGGACGGGTATCCCGTCCCGTCCCGTTGCCCACCCCTAGCCTCAATGACGAGCCACCAGCGCTTATTCTTCATCCATTGCTGCAATTCACACCTAGCACACAAAGGAGAAAGGTCAAGAAGTAGGATAAAGTTTGAGTAGGAGACTCAATGAGAGCTAGATTGGGAGGATTTTTACCAAAACCCGGACTGGGATGCTAGAATGCATCACTTGCTCAATAGTGCTGAATTGGTGGAGCTCTTCTGCATCAAGGGAGAGAGTGTTGTCGTTGAGAGAGTTCTTAGAAACTCTGGAGGTGTCACTAGTAGGAAACTCAGAGCCAGGATTGCATCACATACCAACTGGCGGGGAAGCGTTTCAAGGACATCTATGCCTATTATCCAAACCAATAAAGTTGTTTTACCAGGTAAATCCTGGAATATTTCAAAAGGAAAAAGTTTGCCAAATTCTTGTGGCAACAAGTGTTTGAGCTTAGAATGTACTAGGCGGTTATGGGGCTCTGATCTGGACTCCCTCGTCTGATCACCTCGGGAGTGGAAGAACCTGTGAGGCGGGGGCGGCCCCCGGGATCTACGCTCCGACGCCCAAGTTAGTACGATATATGAGAGTGTATGGTATGTAGAGAGATAAAGTAGAGAGAGAGACCTTAGGGGAAAGTGAGGAAGGGAGAAGAGAAGATCCCTAGTTTGGAGGGTTAGGCCTCCTTATATAGGGTGCGGGCTTCCTTGAGTGGGCTTGGTCCCAGGACGCCTTGCGGTGGGCTTGGGCCCGTTTATAGTCGTGTAGGCATATTAATCCATATCCCAACAATTGCCCCTTTACTTCTTGTATTCTGTAAGAATGGAAGGAGTAACATAATGCGTTAATCGTGTATTAATTTGCCTTACTTATGAATCCGGATGATGCGGTTTGCCCCTTGTGCGAGTTGCGTGATCATTTCCTTTTCCCATTGCTTGACTTTCGATGTCTTGAACCAAAACTCTCAAGTCGTTAAGAGTTCCTTCGCTAGTCCATTGTTGTTAGCGCTAGTAGACCATAATTGTGACCTAGGTAGGGTGGCCCCCACGGCTAGAGAGTTTTAACTCAAGATGCTCTTGTTTCGTGTCTCACCAATGTCGCGTCCATGTTGTTGGGAATTCATGTGTCTTGTTAATGTCTTGTGTGAGGCAAGATCAACTGTTCTCTTCTAGGAAGCTTAGTACTTCGCCTTTTGAGAAGCTCATTAGTCTTTCAGCTTTCTGGAAAGCTTAGTGCTTCTTCGGCTTCCTGGGGGGTGCTTCTCCTTCGGCTTCCTGGGAAGCGCCTCGCGCTTTTGGCTTCCTCGGAAGCGCATCGCGCCTTCGGCTTCTTGGGAAGTGCATCGCTCTCTCGGCTTCCTGAGAAGCGTATCGCTCCTCGGCTTCCTGGGAAGCGTCTCGCGCCTTCGGCTTCTTGAGAAGTGCATCACTCCTCCGCTTCCTTGGAAGTGCTTTGCTCCCGGCTTCCTGAGAAGCGCATCGTTCCTTGGCTTCCTGTGAAGCGCATCGCTCCTCGGCTTCTTGTGAAGTGCGTCGCTCCTCGGCTTCCTGGGAAGCGTATCGCTCCTTCGCTTTCTGTGAAGCGCGTTACTCCCTTAGCTTCCTCGGAAGTGCATCGCGCCTTCGGCTTCTTGGGAAGTGCATCGCTCCTCCGCTTCCTGGGAAGTGCATCGCTCCTCCGCTTTCTGGGAAGCGCTTTGCTCCTTAGGCTTCCTGGGAAGCGCCTCGCACCTTCGGCTTCCTGAGAAGCGCATTGCTCCTTAGGCTTCCTAGGAAGCGCTTTGCTCCTTAGGCTTCCTGGGAAGCGCATCGCTCCCAGGCTTCCTAGGAAGCGCCTCGCGCCCTTGGCTTCTTGGGAAGCGCATCGCTCCTCAGCTTCCTGGGAAGCGCTTTGTGCCTTAGTCTTTCATCCTATGAGAGGCGCTCCGCCTTCTTGCCTGATGGGAGGCACTCCGTTTCTAGCCCGCGGAGCGACGCTCGAGCCTTGCCTAGAGGCGAAAGGCGTGGATCATTCCCCAGAGGGAGGACCGCTCGGAGGCGGGAAGCATTCCCTAGAGGGAGCATCGCTCGGTGGCGAAAAACATTCCCAAGAGGGAGTATCGCTCGGAGGCGGTTTTTGAGTCTAACCCGGAGGTCGGAGGCATGAATCATTCCCCAGAGTGAGGACCGCTTGGAGGCGGGAAGCATTCCCCAGAGGGAGCATCGCTCGGAGGCGGAGTCTTCGAGCCTAACCCGGAGGTCGGAGGCGTGAATCATTCCCCAGAGGGAGGACCGCTCGGAGGCGGGAAGCATTCCCCGGAGGGAGCATCGCTCGGAGGCGGAGTCTTCGAGCCTAACCCGGAGGTCGGAGGCGTGAATCATTCCCCAGAGGGAGGACGGCTCGGAGGCGGGAAGCATTCCCCGGAGGGAGCATCGCTCGGAGGCGGAGTCTTCGAGCCTAACCCGGAGGTCGGAGGCGTGAATCATTCCCCAGAGGGAGGACCGCTCGGAGGCGGGAAGCATTCCCCGGAGGGAGCATCGCTCGGAGGCGGAGTCTTCGAGCCTAACTCGGAGGTCGGAGGCGTGAATCATTCCCCAGAGGGAGGACCGCTCGGAGGCGGGAAGCATTCCCAAGAGGGAGCATCGCTCGGAGGCGGTCTTCGAGCCTAACCCGGAGGTCGGAGGCGTGAGTCTTCGAGTATCCGAGAAAGATGCAAGTGGCTAGGGCCCAATATATTTTAAGTATAACTAGAGCATAGAGAGCGCCTGACATAATAGTAGTGAACCGCTTTGCATAAGATATATCTTTGAAAAATTGACTTAGCTTTAGAGACGTTGGAGAGCGGTTAAGTATTGGCTGCTGCTTTTGTGATCACAAAGCGCTCTTGTGGCATATTGGTCGGTGCGTCTACTTGTCAAATGCAGGTCTTCGGTTCGAAGGTTGGTGAAGGCGTCCCCATCTTTTTTGTTGAATGTTGGTCAATAGAAAGGAGAATGGGTCGTTGTTGCTTGGCTTGGCGGGCCCCATCATGGAAGCTTTGTTGGCGGTCAGGCAGCGGAAGACGGGCCTTTAGAGACTTGGTGGAGGTGAGTCGGGCTCGTATAATGCGTGGCCGGCCTGTGTTGTGCGGTTGGTGGGTCGTTGGAGATGCTTGTAGAGTTGGAGGCGAGCTATCCTGAGATGGGCTTGCATTATGATTAATCCATAGCGTTCCAAATTGAATCATCAGTCATCATCTTGGTCTGCTGGTGACCGCCTCGTACTTGCTTTGCCGTTGTCATTGGTTCGAAGCTTGGCGGAGGCGGTTTGTTCATTCTTTTTAATGAGGCCTCATTGCTGTGTGGGTCGTGCGCGACTTTGCTAGGCGGGCTTGCCTGTTGGATGTGCGGTCCACATGGTCCTCGGCTAGAAGGTGGTCAGACGCTGGGTTGTTGGTATGTTTGGCGGGCTTTGGAATCTTAGTGGCGGTTGCGCGGGCTTTGCGTGGTGGTCAGGCAGCGGAAGACGGGCCTTTAGAGACTTGGTGGAGGTGAGTCGGGCTCGTATAATGCGTGGCCGGCCTGTGTTGTGCGGTGCCCCATCATGGAAGCTTTGTTGGCGGTCAGGCAGCGGAAGACTGGCCTTTAGAGACTTGGTGGAGGTGAGTCGGGCTCGTATAATGCGTGGCCGGCCTGTGTTGTGCGGTTGGTGGGTCGTTGGAGATGCTTGTAGAGTTGGAGGTGAGCTATCCTGAGATGGGCTTGCATTATGATTAATCCATAGCGTTCCAAATTGAATCATCAGTCATCATCTTGGTCTGCTGGTGACCGCCTCGTACTTGCTTTGCCGTTGTCATTGGTTCGAAGCTTGGCGGAGGCGGTTTGTTCATTCTTTTTAATGAGGCCTCATTGCTGTGTGGGCCGTGCGCGACTTTGCTAGGCGGGCTTGCCTGTTGGATGTGCGGTCCACATGGTCCTGGGCTAGAAGGTGGTCAGACGCTGGGCTGTTGGTATGTTTGGCGGGCTTTGGAATCTTAGTGGCGGTTGCGCGGGCTTTGCGTGGTGGTGTGCCTTGTGACCGCATTATGGGCTTAGCTTGAGAGAAGTTGGAGAGCGGTTAAGAATCGGCTGCTGCGTCCTTGTCGTACAAAGCCCTCCCGTGGCATAGTGGAGGGAGTGACGGGCTTGCAGATTTGTTGAGCGGGCTGGCCTGATGAGAGATGAAGCGGTCCATGCGATTGGAGGGAGTGACGGGCTTGCAGACTTGGAGTGCGGCTCGTCGGGTCTTTGGCGGTCTGCTTTGTGGAGATGGGCTGAAGGCGGTCTTGGACTAATGGGCCGCGGGCTTGCAGATTTGTAGTGCGGCACATCGGGTCTTTGGCGATCTGCTTTGTGGAGAAGGGCTGGCGAGGGGGCCCAGTACCTTACGGTTGACGGGAGCTAAACTGGGCCCATTTGAGTGAGGGCGGCGGCCCACGTCTCGTGTGTCCGGCTGTGAGGTTGCGCTGGCGGGATGTCTTTGCCGCGCTGGTGTGATGAAGGGCGGTCCTTGCATAGAGCGGTCGGCGGAGTAGTTTGAAGACCGCTATGAAACCTCGTGGTGGTGAGGTTTAGTATTAGCGGTCGGCGGTTGTAGCACATGTAGGAACTTCATTCTACCGGTAGACACTCTTGCATACATGCCGCTGAAGGCGGGTTCGAAGCTTGATGGAGGTAAATCAATTTTCTTTTTAATCTGAGACAGCTGCATGATATGGGCCTTCGAAGGCGGTCTGCGGGCATAAGCTTCATTCCTAAGCGGGCTGAATTTGGGTGGAACGTTGGGGGCGGCCCAATGCTGTCCTGGTGGGCTGGTCTTGGAAACCAAGGCCGCGTTTGGTGGAGAAATGCGGCTTTGATCTTAGGTATTGGCCGCCAGATTGTCTTGGGAACGCTGCCTCTTTTTCTTTTTTTTTTATGCCGAGTGTGACCTTGATGTGACTTCTCTGTAGCAAGCAGACAAGAGTGAGAAAGCTTACATGAGTGGCCTGATGGTGACTGCGGCCATTTTTTTTTTTTTTGCAACTTTTTCTTCTTTCCAGCTGCTGCTGTCTGTGGCTCACGGACGAAAGTCACTTTATGGGGAAGAGGAATTCATCGGTGAGGATGGGAACCGCCAGCGGTCGGAATTTGGGGGATTTCTTCTTCGGTTGGATACAACTCCGACGCCGGGGGAGATGAGCTGATTGAAAAGCAGATGGTGACTTTCCTCCGATTTTTTCTCCCGAATTTTGTGGTTGCTTTTTTCATCGGACTGTGTCCTTGGACCCCATTGATGATGGATATTGGAGAAGAAATTGTTCCCGCCTTCCCAATGGTTGTTCCCCTCCTCTGCTTGCCGATAGCTTGTTGTTTCTTTTTGTTGTTGCGAGACGGTGATGGAAGAAGAGCTATTTTCTTCCCCTCTTTCAGAAATCAAACGAAAGGAATCCTATAATCTTTGTCCCACGGTGGGCGCCAATTGTTTGAGCCTAGAATGTACTAGGCGGTTATGGGGCTCTGATCTGGACTCCCTCGTCTGATCTCCTCGGGAGTGGAAGAACCTGTGAGGCGGGGGGCGGCCCCCGGGACCTATGCTCCGACGCCCAAGTTAGTACGATATAGGAGAGTGTATGGTATGTAGAGAGATAAAGTAGAGAGAGAGACCTTAGGGGAAAGTGAGGAAAGGAGAAGAGAACATCCCTAGTTTTGAGGGTTAGGACTCCTTATATAGGGTGTGGGCTTCCTTGAGTGGGCTTGGGCCCAGAACGCCTTGCGGTGAGCTTGGGTCTGTTTATAGTCGTGTAGGCATATTAATCCATATCCCAACAACAAGGGCTTACGCAAGTAACTGAAACTTTTTTTGGACAGGAAAGTATCTTAAACTAACTGGTAAACTTTTCTGGACATCAAAATGTGAGAATTTACACATCCGGCCTTCACTTTTCCCAGCCACACATCACATGGTTAACTTAAACGATGGATGATGCCACAGTTTGAACAGCTTGTGGCAGCTGAACACTCACTCACTGTCCCCAACCCCAGTAAATACTAAAAAAGAAGAAAGGTTCCACAAGTTATCAAGGTTTCAGAAAAGTAGTACTGAAACCAGCTTCACCAGTATGGATCCTATAAGATACAACACAGCACCTAGCTGCAAAAAAGTTTACAAAGGCTGCCTGGCAGTCAGATATTTGAACGTACGTTCTCAGCATCTGTCATCTTCTTCGTGAGTGCCAGAGTTTCCGAAGGCACGAAACTGAAGGCGATCAAGAGACCCTGTCGAGGAGTCCACTTGAATCGGATGGTCAAATTTACATGCAGGACCAAACTTGCAGATCCCATAGCGACTGTAGTAAGCACATACATTCTGATCCTGGATTCATGATAATAAAGGTAGGTAAGCGGTGGAATGGTAGAGGAAAGACGGTAAAATTCAATCAGTGTTTGAGAACAGTGATGGATTTTGCCGTAGTTTAGATGTTGGGTAGGCTTGCTTTGGCTAAAAAACGTGTCTGAAGAAACAAATACGCTTCTTTGATCTAGCTTTTTTAAACCAACTCATTCAAAACCCTCAATTCATTTAGATCTACAAGGCACCATACTATTAAAATTTCATACGGGCTCTGCGCAAAGAGCGACTCTAAATGCACTTAACTTTTGCAATGAACTATATAGGATAAAGTGAACTTACAGGTCTCAATGGCAGGCCCTTATCACTAAGAATACAGGAAGGCGATTTCGTGATCCGAGTTTTAGGATGATTGAACTTGCAGTTGCCCTTAAACTTGCACCCCCCAGTTTTCAAGAAATAACTGCAATCCGGTTGACCAGGCCTCTCTGGGTACTCATCTACTACCATCGGTTGTTGCTGACGACCGTAAATATTGGTTCCTATCGCAGGGTTGATCATGAAATATGGCATATGAGAAGGAGCCATACCTTGCTCTGGCGGTGGATATACAGGAGCCTTGACAAGCCACAAAAAGAGAATGTACAGACAAATATTAAGACGAGCATTCTTTCAAAAATAAAAGAATGCACAGGGTAACACGGAAACATTATCAATCTTATTGCACAAGATATCACTTTAGCTTACTACGTTTTATTGACATATGGGTTTGGCAAATTGGGCGCATAAACATCAAGTCCAATAAAGCATCAGAGGTTGTGTTCAAGTGCAGATAGCAACTAAGTAAGTGTTGAGAACTATTTGTTCTTAAAACCCTTTCTTTTGAGTCTCCCAGCAACAATCACTGTATTACGTGCCTCTAGACAATTATACGTACACCTCTTTGTGAAGCATCGATTACATGCACCGTGTAACTTTCTTCCTAACTTGTTCAGTTACAGATTCTTGTTAGACGCTATAAAGGGTATGGTTTGCTGAGAAGGTACAGAGCATGAGTGAAAACTACAATTCCAGTTCTAACAGAGTTCGCAATCTAGGGTAAATATTGGAGGATCTGCAATGTGGTAAGATCATGTATCTGCATGGAATGAGAACACAGGGACGAAATGAAGAGCAGTACAATTAAGTTTAGAGAGCACCTGTGAGACAAGGGGTAAGAGGCACAAATACAAAGATCCGTAAGTTCATCCAAACAACATTCAATACCTGATGACCATTCCATTCAAGATTCTGGGAACTTGTGCTTTGATTTGAGGGAAACAATATTGGGACATTAGGGGGAGTGTCATTCAGTGCTGGTCGTGGCGGTGGGGGAGACCATGGTGGTATGTTTGAATGTGATGAAGCATTGATGGATGAAGAACCACCATTAGCAATTGGTGAAGAATGTTCATTGGCCCCCACCACTGTAGGATCAGGATGATTAAACCTGCAGTTTGACCCATACTTGCACGAGCCATTGCGCATATAATATGGACACTCTTTCTCTCCCTGAGGAAGGTCAAATCACACATGAGCGTTCCTTTATCCAGCAATTCGTAAAGTTACACCTGATATCTAATTGCAAAAGTGAAAGGTATACCGGTCGGATTGGTAGACCAAGAAAGTTAAACTCAAGAATCTGCACCACTGGTGGTTTTGCAAAGACGGCTGGAGTTCTCACTTTTGAGTGGTTGAATCTACAAGCTTTCCCATACTTACAGCCCCCTGTCCTCAAGTAATACTATAAAAAAGCTCGAGTCAATTACATCACCAGAAAAATAAATTATTAACTTGAATAGCCAATCACGACGCCAACAAGAAAAGAGTTTAACAAGCAACAACTGGTGCAAGGGATGACTTATTCACTAAGAACCTAAATGAGAGATTCCTACTAAGCTTGACAGTTAATAAGTTGCCTGACAGTTCCCATGCCCAAATCTATAGCCCAGTTTCCTGCCTATGGACCAAGAAAAATGTAGATTCCCAAGTGAGGTGAGATTTAAGTATCAGCCAGAATACTGCACCTTAAAAGTTCCAATGGCCCGGCATATGAATACGTAGAAATTGAGAAACTTCTGGTCTACTGTGGATTGTGAATCTTGTAATAGCGAATTTTATCCATAGCTAAACTAACGCAGATAACGTACTACTGAAATAACCATCACATCCTGCTCGAGAAGACACTCAGGCCAAAAGTACCAGCCTCATGAGTTACTAATACTACAATTATGCAAACGGAATATCTAGAAAAGCAGCACCATGAAAAGGAAAACGTACACACACAATAATCAGATTATATGAAGGCAACAAATAACCTTGCATTCAATCTGCTCTGGTCTCTCTGCTGATTCTTCTTTCTCCCCCATTCTTTCCCTCATCACCTTTCACATACCAAAACACGAAGAGGTCAGCAAAACCTTAATTACAATGCTCGTTATATGGCCAATTATCAAAATACAATCAAACCGAGTGAAAACAGTATCCACATAAACATAGGGCCTGAAAATCAACTCATTTAGGGTCGGGGATAAAGAAAACGAAGAACAAGAAAATGCATTTACAAAGAAGAAGAAAAAAAAACACTTTCGGACCTGGGTTTTCTGCTTAGCCGGGTGATTAAATTTGCAGTTGGAGGCGAATCTGCAATTCCCTGTCTTCATATAGTAAGAGCAGTCTTCGGCTTCAGGCCTCACCGGAAACTGGTGATGCCTAATCATCCCACCGCCATTACTTTTTGTCTGCTTCCACTCCTCGTCTCCTTCATTCTCCTCCAGCGTCTCAGCGTCCTCGTTCATATTCCGAACATTTGGTTCTTCAAGGACATCACTCTCTCCATTGGTATGTTGCTCCACCGACTGCTCCTCAACCTCTCTTCGGCCATTTAACTGGCTCGAATCTCTCTCAGTTTCCAGCACCACCACCCCCTCCTCTTCGCCGAGAGGCTGCTTCAGCTGCAGCTGCTTCCCAACGAGCTGATGGAGCTGCTCCAGCTGCTCTTCATCCTTGTCAGCGGCGTGATCAAGAGGAACATGCTCACATGAGGAGGGTTGAGGATCTGGATCCTGAACAGGGGCTAAGGGCGAGGGAGATTGAATCTCGAGGAGGCTGGCTCCACTGGGATCAGAAATGGAATTGGCTGATTCAGGTTCCTCCATGGCTCACCGCATTTCAATTCTCCCAAAAAGAAAAAACCCTAATTTCTGAAGTAACCAATAAAGAGAGACAAAATACAGAAGAGAGCGAGGGAACGAGAAAGGGGAGAGAGAGAGAGGAGAGAGACAGTTGCCTTCGTCTTATGTAAAGTGACGATTTGAAAGCTCGAGAAAAAATGAAAAGTGAAAAACAACCGCAAAATTAGCAAGGTTGCCCGATCAAGAAATTGGTAAAAGATTAATCTATATACGTGGAAAAAGTTGTCCCAAATACTGTGACAGAAATTAGTAAACACTCGATTTGTCAACCCATAGAGTTCTATAAAGTTCTGAATCATAGAAATCATTCACGTCTTGATCTTGAAATTGTTATTTGGGATTGGAGGAGAGAAGGATAGGCAACTGCACATCATCTACACTTGAGTGAGTGTAGGATCCAATAGTCCTTGGAGAAACTCTCGATTGTGGTTGAGGTTGTTGCTGTTGTTGTTTCGTCATAATGTTGTCGTTCTCTTGTTGGAGAGTTCTACTAAGAGTTATGAGGGTCCGTTCAATCTCAGTATCAAGTGGCATGAGATTGATTGGAACCCGTCTTTGCATGCAAGAATAGTTAACACAAAAGCTCAAAAACACTCGTGATGCGACAGTGAAACAAACAAAGTAACCATATAAGCATAAAATAAAAGCAATAAAGCCATACTAGATTAACAATCAAGCTTAACTCCAGCTAGTTATCAGTAAAATTTCTAACAACAGTATCAAAAACTTGATTCCACCAGTGTGAGATAGAGTAATAAAAATGATGCACACTAACTCATAACTCTAACAATGATAAGTATATCATTGTTAGACTTGCAATATAGAGGTTCAGTCATATTTTCCTAGGATCCGTGATACCCTACCCTATTCTTGTTAAGCTAGACTATTATGTACTCGACAATTGTTTGGTTTTGGTATTAAGGAACTACTTGTCACTAGAAACAATAAAAGAGAAAACGATACTCGGGGCAAGCTACCCACACCCTAATGACAGGAAAATATGCAATTGACAAGTAAAGAATCTATGGTAGTTGTGGTGTAGAGGTAACTAAAATTGGGGGTCGGTGCAATGGCCATGTCTCACCCTCCTAGCCACATCCACTGACCCAATGTCACCACAACCGACTTCCATGACTAAGAGTTATGGTTTACCTCCTCTAAACTAGTTCTACCCATTCGCACACAAATTCTACAAGTCGATGGTCACGCACTTGTGTCCCGACCATTACCTAAGTGAGCTTCTAGTTGGCAGGGGATGGTCACCAAGTCCACCATTTAGGACTCCATATCAATACACATACAACCAAGAGTGTACCTAATTTGACCCAGGCTAGATCATGTTATACATGTATTCACACACCCAAACTCAAATAGAGCCATTAATAACGCTAGGTAAACATTAATTAATCATAAATTAACAATACACAATCAATTACATCTCAAACCCTAGGTTAGGGATTGGGAGCAAAGCCATGAGTACCTTAAAGAACTATGATGGCACATAAAATATGTTATTTAGACCCTCATATTATGACCTAAAGTGCATTGATAGCTCAAAGTGTATTTTAGTAGCTCTAAGACTGCTTTTATTATTATTATATGATTTGGTAGCGTTTTGTGCATTTTCAGGTTAAAGCAAGCTAGAGAACCACTAAGGAGCACTGCGAGACATTAGCTCGACCGTTAGGAGCAAGACTCGAAGAGGAGACCCCGGTCTAGAAAAAAGGCATCCAAAACGGCATCCTAAGATCTAAAACGACATTGTGGTCGGTTGGTCGTCATTTTGGGAGACATCTGAAATTCGCCAGGAAGGCGTCCATATTTATCTTGAAGTTGTAGGTGGAGAAAGATTATGAAGAACGACCATCAATGAAGAAAGACACAATTTTTACTAAAGGAAAGAACAGTCAGGGTGCCATTTTGCTAGAGCCAACCACTTCATCAAGAAGTTGTCTTGAAACAACCTGATTCGCTGACTACGTGTTTGTAGGCTTCTGATTGGCCGAATGATGCAGTAGGGAGGATTTTCTCTCCCTGTAAAGCATAATGGAAAACCTATAAATAGTGCTCTAGAGCTAGACATAAAAAGGGGGAGAGACGAGATGTGAAGGAAAGGTCGTTACTCTGCCGAAAGGGCAACCCTTCTGACTTAGAGCGATGCCACCTTCAAGGGAGAATCGTCATTGAAAAAGGCGCCATTAGGCCCCTTTCTCTATTTTGGTTGTCGATTCATGTGGTCTCCCAAAGTCTCCATTTTTATCGATGAATGCCAAGGACACCCTACACATGGTTGGCTAAGTTCCTTAGTTGCGTAGGTACGTGAACCCTAAGGGGTTCTAGCCATGTAAACTCGATGATTTGGTTAATACGATTGTTTGATTTCCGTAGGTATGATGCTTGCTTTCCTTTATTTCTTTATTTATTGATTCAAATAAATGCGTAGTCGACCTTGTACTTCATCAAGGTGCAAGGATCGAAATCCTAATAATTTAGGATGGGTCTAGAAATAGCAGCCCTACTCGATTAAACCTCATTCGATCAAACGACATGTTGCCTCAAAGAAAGAATTCTAAGGGACCTTGTCACCCATTAGTTTGGGTGCTTCGGCACAAGGTGGGATCTAACGAAATAAGAAATCGGCAGCTCGTATGCTTCCATCACCGAGTGCACGTGGTTACGGAACCTAGGGAATGATGTCTATGCAATGCCTTCATTTCCTGCTTTCTTACTTCTTCAGTTGCCTAAGATTTACTTTTATGCACCTCTTTTACGTTTTAAACACCTAAGTTCTGCAAAACCGGAGGAACCTCAACCTCCTAAACCAACCTCTTCTTCAATAAATTTGTACCTCTCTTTCGAAGTAAGGGGGTTTTGTGAGAGGCCCGAGGGAATACGATCTTGGCCGTAAGGCCAGGTAAATTTGGTCGACACTACACGATGGATCAACTCCTAATGCATGAACGGCTCTCTTGAATGGTATGCCAAGGTTTAGAAGAGAGGATGTGATGGATAAATGTAATGCACAAATAAAGATTTCAAGTTTGGAAATAAAGAGAAATGCACTAGCTTATCAAGGCTGGGTATTTAAAACCAGAGCATGGTTAAGATCGTGGGCTAGCCCCATGAGATCGCGGCTGCGTAGTTGACTATCGCAGCTACAATCTTTGTCTATCCTGGCTCTCAAATTCTAAGATTTGTCGTGCATAAAGGCTATAAGTTGGAACGAGCACCAATTATATGTCATGAGAACTAAAAGCATAGGGCAAATACTTCCTACACTAAATTACAGGTTTCTAGGAGAAAAATATAAGGAAAGAAAATGAAACTGAAATGTTGGGTTATCGACCAACAAGTTCGCCTTTAAGGTCTTTTTGCGGACTCTCAAGATTGGGTGGCTAGAGGGGGGTGGTACCTCCACCCGCATTGGTTATGTCATCGTACGCACTCTAAAGGTGAAGTCCAAGGTGCAAGCCATGCACCCTTTCGGTTGCTTCCCCTCTTAAAATGGTTAGGAGTTGACATCACACCTCATCATGTCCCGCGGGAATGTTCTTTGTTGCCTTAATCTTGGGGAAATATTTGTAACCACATTAGGCGAGCCCTTAAGATCTAGCTTGGACACCCTTGTTTCTTCCTTAGAATTTTCACCATTAGCATGTTTGGCCAGGATGAATGGGTCATGAACTTAGAGATAGAAGGAATTTGATTGATCTTAGATTTATTTTGGAAATAGATGAATCCATTAATGAATAATTGAGGATATGTGCCCTAAGATATATGGTTTTGAAGATTGCAAATGAGTTAGGAAAGCTAAGATTTTATTCATAGTATGTAGGTAGGGCTGGAAGTTTGGTACCGGTATTAGGGATATACCGAATACCGTATCGAATTTGTCTATATTTGGTATTACCGAATACACGAATTATTTTTTGGGATTGGGATTGGGATTGAATTTCATTTGTTATTCGGTATTAGGGATTACGGGATTGGGATCGGTATAATACCGAAATATAAGCTACTGTGTATTTTTTTCTTCTCAACTAGACTCTCTCATTCACTACTACACGACCCTAAACTACCAAAAGTGTCATTTAATTATACATATATCATTCCATCACTATTAATAGTCGTCTGTCAACCTCCAATTCGTCAAATTAAAGATTACCAATGACAAGAACTTGAGATGTCTCCTCTCCTCCATTCTCCTTAATAATATCCTAATTCAAGACTCTTTGCTTAGTCTTTTTTTTCCATAAATTAAACAATAAAATCTAATTTTTATATTTAATTATTAATTGTAAAGGTAATTAATTTTGTATTCGTTATTACCGATTGGGATACCGAAGTACCGATTGGGATACCAGTATATTTAGGGATTGGGATTGGGATACCGAAATTATTTAGGGATTGCGATTGCGATTGACTTTAGGGTGTAATTCGGTATTCGGAATTTCGGTATTTGGTATTGGGATACCGATACTATACCGATTTCCACCCCTATAAGTAGGTGTTGTGAACTGATAATGTTAGAGATGAGGAAGGATTACGTGACTAGGGGGTGCTTAGTCACTTGAATAAGCTCCTAGCCCTTAGATTTAGACAATTTAATCCAACGGTTAAAAATTGACGATGTTTTTTAATAAGTGACAAGGGTATTTTGGGTATTATGAAAAATTATGAAGTATAAAAATCAAACTTACAAACAATACAAACATACAAATATTACAAACTAAAATGACAAAACATACAAACAAATTTACAAACAATACAAAACATATGAACTATACAAACAACACAAGCTAGACCGACAAACAATACAAACCATACAAAATGAAAAAAACAACCGAGTTGACTTTGGAGGCTCCATCCCTATATAGATCCCAAAGTTAACCCGGTTATTTTTTTTTATATACAAACATTACAAACATGGTGGACAAAAATAACAAAGCTTACAAACATATAAA